GTCCATTGTAATCCTCAGGACGTCATCAAGCGTTACCAGCAACTGTTGACAGATTTCATACCATGCATATCCTGAAATGGCAAGTCTGAAGAGGGCAGCCCACAATAGAAACAATGGCATTTATTTTCGTCCCGTTCCAAGATTGTCTCATAGAACATGCATGCTAGCCAACTGCCTGGCTTGGTCGGAGATCACTGTTCTATATTATATTACCAGTTTGAACAAAGCTCCGCAGCCGTGGAGTTAGAATCTTCTCATCGTATACAGGGACATCAGGAATGTACTTTGCAAAACTTATTTTAGCACTATGCAGAAGAGACTGACACTGTCAGATCTTTGCAAATCCATCAAGCCTGCTGGGAGAATATGTTGCTCCCCGGAATACAAATGCCAGACTGATGTCCAGTCCAGGGAAGAAGAATGCTCTTCTATCAGATGTTATTTATAGACATGCCTGTCAATGAAACATTTGTTTCAGGATGCTCAGGACAAAGTAAAATGCTAAAAGTTGACACCACCAGTCAATGCTACTGCACAACATTTTTCCATATTAGTGGAGAATCTCCATTGCAATGAATGATTTACACTGCGATACTGATTCAGAGATTGCTTCTTTCACAACATCTCAAAATATTTGCCATATGCTGAATAATTAAAGAAATAAAATACACTTGTTTTTGAAAGTTGGAGGCAGTAAATTAAGCTAAATTTCCCCATATGCCATACAAAAACTTTAGAGAAAACTTTTATGGTGTACGAATTTTTTTGCACACTATGCTTCTAAAAGGAAGACATTCATTTACTAAATTCAGAATAAGGACCAATCTCCCAGTTGAAAGAAGGCTATTCAACTTCTGTCCACTTGCACTGTTTTCATTCATTTAAATCAGTGGTTCCCAACCTTTTATTGACCAGGGACCACTTTAACCAGGGACCGCTCTCCAACATTAGTACCAAAAGGGTTATGCATCAGTTTTTGGTCAGCTTTAGATTTGGTTTGGTTATTTGAGATTCAGAAAATTGGATAGACCATATCAACTCTAGTTTCTGATACAGAACATATGTCATCCGGTCGTTGCCATCTGCTAGCCCACAGAAAACCATATTTAAGAAGCCTCGGCACTATAAGAGGGTTTCACGAGACCAGTCGCACTTGTTACAATGGTGTAGTAATGGTGGAGCCGCGGACCATATTTTAGTTCTTGCAGACCACTGGTGGTTCATGGACCACAGGCTGGGGGCCACTTATTTAAATGGAGCTCCTACAAATGGACTACAGAATGGTGAAATACACTGTTATAAAAGGAATGAGAGAAACAGAAATTATTGTTACCACTGATTAACAAGTTCTTGTGTGTTGTTGTTTGTTGCCTTCAAGCAAACTTCAGTTTATGGTGACCCCGTGAATAAGAGTTCCAAAACTAAATGGGAGAGAAGTACGGTATTTTCACAGGTCACAACATATTCACCTTATATGTCTGGAGGAAAGCGGATCCAGAAGATATTGCTTTCTGTTCTATCTGACACCTAATCAATCAAATCTCATTGAAACTGAGAGGATAAATGTTGGTGATACTTTAACTGGAAGACTGATTCCACACATGCCAGATGTATTAAACATTAGTCTGCCTTCTTATGGTCACAGCTCTTGCCATTCTGCTTAGCTGTGTAGATGTACAGACAGATTCTGTACTTAAAGAAATGGATGAAAATTGGTTGCTGGGAGCAAAAACAGAACAGTTTTGACAGAATGGTTGCATAAAGTTCAGAATCCATGCTAAGACAGCATATCTCTTTAACAGATTTTTACTTCTAATACTCAAATCAGTCTTTAACTGATTTGATGAGGGCTAGTTGTAACTTTGATAAAAATAAGACTTTTTTCATTTTTTGTTTAATTCTTTAAATGGATAATGACCACATTTCTTTTACATTAGTTTTACTTATTCAAAATATTAATTTTTAATTCAAATATTTTTTTTAAAGCAGTGCGAATAATGTTTTCAGTGTCATGATAAGGAGCCCCTGGTGACACAATGGGTCAAACCCTTGTGCCAGCAGAACTGCTGACCGAAAGGTCACCAGTTCAAATCCAGGAAGCGGTGTGAGCTCCCATCTGTCAGCTCTAGCTTCTCATGCAGGGACATGAGGGAAGCTTTCCACAGGATGGCAAAACATCCGGGTGTCCCCTGGGCACCAGACAGCCAATTCTCTCACACCAGAAGCCACTTGCAGTTTCTCAAGTCGCTCCTGATACACAAAAAAGTGTTATGATAGAACTAAGGAAACACTGACTCCAATTCCTATTCACTACATTTCTCCGGTTCTACCCGCATGGCCATATAATGCAGTTTCAGAATGAGGTTTTATCACATTGAATTGGATTATAGGCAGTGTAGACTCACATAATCCAGTTCAATGCCGTTAAATTGCATTCTCATACTGCATTAAATGGGAGTGTAGATAGGGCCTCAGCCAAATTTACCTCACAAGGTTCTTTTCAGGAAAAGGAGGAATGGCATTGGCTTCCTTGAGGTCTTTGTACAAAACATCAGAAAGAAGCGTCATGGTAAAGAAACTACCTCCTCCACAACGTGTTACATACTTTGAATGTATAATAATCACAACTAGAATTGTGGTGCACATGTGCAGGAAGTGAACTTTTATCTTTGCATTCCACATTATGGTTCCAACAAACTTCAGCCCACTTACCACCCACTTATATGTCATGGGACACATTTGCTGCTATTTTTCAGGGACAGAAACTGCGACTGAAGTTGCTCTTATTACTGCCGGAAGCTCTCTTCCACAAAAAAAAAATGGAAAAAGAAATGCATATTTGAAAAACAAACCTTATGGCGTAACAAACATCTTGATCACATCCTTCTTTACGGCTTCCCTTTTTTTAAAAACGCACATTATGCCTGAAATGCAATTTCACCTTGAACGTTAAATGTAGTTGGCTTCCCAAGTTACATTTCAATTGGATGCATTTTAGCAAATTAGTTTTTAACATGGCTATGCATCATTTCAAACTAGTAGCAAGCTGTTTATAGTTCTGTAGGGTAAAAAGATGATATAGGCAGAGGTTTTACATTCAGTTTAAGCAAGAGAAGGTAGTGTTTCACTTGCTATGTGTACTTCTCTCTCCGTTTCAATTCGCATATCTCTGCAAATGTGTTGAATAGTATAGACCAGGCATGGGCAAACTTCGGCCCTCCAAGTGTTTTGGACGTCAACTCTCACAATTCCTAACAGTCTCAGGCCCTTTCCTTTCCCCCTCAGCCGCTTAAGTGGCTGAGGGGGAAAGGGAAAGGACCTGAGGCTGTTAGGAATTGTGGGAGCTGAAGTCCAAAACACTTGGAGGGCCAAAGTTTGCCCATGCCTGGTATAGACTCATGGTAGACTGAGCATGTTGGTAGTCCCGAGCTTTGGGCTCTTGATGATGGCTCAATCCAAAGTATGACCACTGAATAATTGAGACCTGGCTACCTGGTGAAGTTAAGATTAAGACATACTATCTCCTTCTACCAGCCCACAAATCGCAACACATTTCCAGCATCTCAATTCGAGATGGTTATGACAAACACAAGGTTATGACAAACACAATCTATATAAATAAAAATGTAATGTTCGTTTGTGGGATTAACATAACTCAAAAACCACTAGATGAATTGACACTAAATTTGGCCACAAGACACCTATTAACCCAAGGAGTAACCACCACTAAAAAAATTGATTTTGTCATTTGAGAGTTGTAGTTGCTGGAATTTATTGTTCACCTACAATCAAAGAGCATTCTGAACACCAATGATGGAATTGAATCAAACTTGGCATACAGGACTCCCATGACCAACGGAAAACACTAGAAGGGTCTGATGGGCACTGACCTTGAGTTTGGGAGTTGTAGTTCACCTACATCCAGAGAGCACTGTGGATTCAAACAATGATGGATCTTGACACGGATATTCCATATGCCCAAATATGAACATAGATGGAATTTGGGGGAAATAGAACTTGACATTTGGGAATTCTAGTTACTGGGATTTATAGTTCATCTACAATCAATGAGCATTCTGAACCCCACGAATGACAGAATTGGGACAAACTTCCCACGCAGAACTCCCATGACCAACAGAAAATACTTAAGGGCATCCAGTCCAACTCCCTTCTCAAGGGCAAGAAAACGTAATCAAAGCCCTCCTGACAAAGAGCCATCCAGTCATAGATATAGATAGATAGATAGATAGATAGATAGATAGATAGATGGATATGATTCACATACACACACAGATATAGTATCATAGATTTGAAAGGGACCCCTAAAGAAGGACAATTATATGTTGCATATTCCAGAGTAGGCAAATCAGACACTCGCCATATCAACACTGACAAAGAAACAACAAGAAATACTGTTTACCCACAAGCATAAAGAAATTACATATATTAGAAACCAACACTTTCTCAGTACTTTATTTTCCAGATTACCAGACTGGGCCACAGCAACGCGTGGCAGCGGACGGCTAGTATTAAACTGTTTTAAAGGAAAATTTAGCCACCCGTATATTGCGTATAGAGATACTATTTAACATACTGACATCCCCATTAAGTTTACATAGCATCAACCTTGTTGTAATCATATCACCATCATTTTGGTAACCACTCACATTAGCTGGCAGATGAAATGATAACATACTTCCTGGGTTCTGTTTCACGTTAATATAAAGTTAACATAATGTGGTCTTTGAAAATTGATTCTCAGATGTAGGAATCCCTGTAAAATGTGATCTTTCCAACACTATTACAATATTTTATATGATAATATAGTAAATCTTTGACTATTACAATTCTCCCTCTCTCAGACACACACAAAGTAATTTTAAACTGGGATAAGCATTTTCAACTGCAAATGACAGCTTAGGAAATCATTAACACTACATTGGTATTAGTCACAGTAAATTTGAACTAAAACAACTGTCTGCTTTCTTTGTTTTCCTGACCTTCCTTTGCTGTTTCTCCCACGCAGGATCCAAAAGTAGGTCTCTGTCCCATTCATCTTCTTGGTTCATATACTCATCCTCTTCGTACTCATAGTTGTAATGCATGCTAGTGTCTATTTGGGTGGTCATGTTGCGGAAGAATCAGGCTATCCTTTGACACTTGCAGAAATGCACTTAGTTGTATTGAAGTTTGTTTTAAAAAATGAATTAATCTTGCTAAGTCAGAGAAAAAAATCCGTCCACTTTTCTTCTTTGTGCCTGAAATGCGTGTAGACTATATGTTGCCTTGCTGATAGTGCAAGAGGAGAAAGTTGTCAGATTGCAGATTAGAATTTGCCTTCAAATCTTTCTGCCTCTGGAGTGCTGCTGTGAGGCTTTGAAAGGAACTGTGGCTCAGCCAAAGGCTGCTGCCTCTCTTCACTTCTTATCCCCTTGCCTTATCATGTGACTTTGCACTGCCCCCTCCCCTTTTTTAAAACCTTCCTTTTGCTATTTGCCAGCCAGATCCTGCGAGACAGATCCCTCTGCCCTCAGAAAATGTTGAAATACAATTTTGTGCCCACACTTACTAGAAGAAACACAGCAGGGACAGTGCTAGCTTGGAAATTCTAGAAATCCCAAAAAGTGACTTTCCTGGACTTAGTACCTGATGGGAATTTTCTTGGCAGAAAGATAGAGGAAGGATTGCCCAAAGGGCAGAAGATAATTTGGCAATTCTCTGTAGAGCACGTTTTCCAATACTGTATCACTTTGCCTTATTGGATTGAAACAACCAACTGATTTTTATGGATCTCATTTTATGGAGGTCTTCATTTTATGGATATACTTGAGTATTTTGGCTTTTATTTAATTTATTGGAATCACTGTGTTTTAATTAATGCTTTAACTGTTTATTGTTTACTTTGTTTTATTTTGCTTCTCCTTTATTGGCTTGTCATTGATTTTGTACATAGTATTTATTGTATTTATTTATGTTGTGAGCACCCCACCCTTTCAGGGAAATGGGGTGGAATATAAATAAAGATCCCCCCCTCCCAAAAATCATTATCCAGCTAGACTCTGCCCAGTTATTCATCACTGCCATAAGTAAGCAGGCTCTTTTTCACCTTCGACAGGCAAGGAAATTGGCATCCTACCTTTTGGTAGAAGCATTGGCAACAGTAATCCACGCAACAGTCACCACGAGGTTGGACTATTGCAACGCCTTATATGCCGGCCTTCCGAAGTCAACAACCCAGAAGATTCGGATGGTCCAAAATGCGGCGGCCAGGCTGCTAGCGGGATCATCTATAAGATCCCATATCACACCGATTCTGCAACAACTGCATTGGCTACCAATAGAACATAGGATCTCTTACAAGATACTGATCCTGACATTTAGAGCTCAAAATGGCCAAGGACCTTTATATCTTAGGGACCGCCTCATTCCTTTTCTCCATCAGTGGTCACCTCGATCCACCCAGGAAAATCTCCTATACATACCGGGCCCTAGGGAGGTACACCTGGAAGCTACAAGGCGTAGAGCTTTTTCGACCTATGCTCCAATTCTGTGGAACTCATTGCCTCCATACATTAGAGCAATGTCGGAGTTGCGACCTTTTGTAAAGGCACTCAAGACTTGGCTGTTTGGTTGTGCATTTAAGTAATCAGATCTAATTTGCCAAATAGTCACTGTCAAATGTTTTTATGTTGAATGTTTTTATATTGTATAAATCCTATTTTAGACTGTAAGTCGCTCAGAGCACCTTGGTGGAGAGCGACTAATTAAGAAATAAAGTGAAGTGAAGTGAAGTGAAGGTCAGGTATGGGTAAACCCAGGCCCAGGGACCAGATGCAGCCCATTGGGCTCTTTTCTCAGACCCTACACTCTCTCACCATCCTATCCTTCCCTTCCATCCTTTCAGCCTTTCTCCCCCCCCCCCCCTTTTCTCCCACCTTACATCTTTCTCTTTCTCCTCCCTCCCTCCCTCCTTCCTTCCTTTTGTCTTTCCTTCCTTCACTCTGTCCTTCCCCCCACCCCTCCTTCCATTCTCTTCCTTCCTTCCTTCCTTCCTTCCTTCCTTCCTTCCTTCCTTCCTTCCTTCCTTCCTTCTTTTTTCCCTTCCTCCTTTCCTCCTGGGGGATTTTTAGCTAGGAGAAGAGATGATTGTGAAGGAACATGAGAACTATGTTTCAAGATTTAAAAGGGTGTCCCTTTGAGGAGGAGGAGGAGGAAGGGGAAGACTGACTTTCTGGAGATCAGAGCACAAGGGAGCAATGGTTTCAAATGGCAGGGAAAGAGATTCGACTGAAAAGATTAGGAAGAACTTCCTGAGAGTAAGAACTGTTGGAGAGTGGCATAGGCTGCCTCAGAGTGTGATGGAGTCTCCTTCTCTGGAGGCTTTTCTGCAGAGGCTGTCTATCAGGAGTGCTTTGATTGTGCCTTCATGCATGGCAGGAGGTTGGACTGCATGGCCCTTGGGGGTCTCTTCCAGCTCTAGGATTCTATAGCAGGAGTAGGCAATATAGGGTCTAATGGATACACTTTTTCGCTCCCATCCACCATCTCATCCTGACCAAGGCCAAACAGGAGGAAAGGGCAGGGAGGGGACTTGTGGAAAAAACCCTCCCTCCCGGCCCACCCACCCCACTCTGGCCCGCCATGCCTGCCCCCCTGAGTTAGAAAGTTTGCCCATGCCTGATCTAAGTAGTGCTCACACCTGGACCAACAACTTTGAATACAATTTCTTTAGAAAGTATATAGTTTACTTGCAGAAGGTGTGATTGCACGGTGCAGCAAAGAGAGACACCAGCTCTGATGGGATTCATAAATCACAGTGCTATCAGTGGCTACTAGTCATTATGCACAGACCTTGTAATCAACACCAAAGGCAGTAGGAAGCTGGATCGAGTTATACCCACATCCAGTTATCAAACAGGACTGTCACAACAGATTAAGAAGATAATTAAACTTGCAAAATGCTGTTCATCTCTCCCTGCACTGTCTGTTCAGAAAGCCACATTCTAGCTTTGATCCTCAAAATACTCCCTGAAGCACGATCAACATTATGTTCTTTTTTTAAAAGAAAACAATTTACCATGCTCAATGGTAAAGTGGCTTTTGAAATTTACTTACTTTCATTACTATCGCACATTCTGGAAGTGTTTTTGGCTAGTTCTGGTTTGTGCACTCACTCAGAAAATCATGAGACCTCAGATTTGGAGCTCTCTCACACACCCTGACATATAAATACGTAATTCTATATTTTTTCAAATTAATAAGAAGCAGCAGTGGCAGTGGTGAGAGAGAGTATAATGTAATAGTTTGTTATACTAGGACTCTAGGGGACTAGGGCACAAATCCCCACTCAGCCAGGGAAGCCCACTGGGTGATCTTGGGTGAGTCACATTCTCTCAGCCTCAGTGGAAGACAAAGACAAACAACCTCTGAATAAATCTTGCTAAGAAAACTCTGTAATAAGATCACCTTATAGTTGCCATATGTAGGGGATGACTTGAAATAAATAATAGCACAGACATGACAAAACCCCAAACTTCCTAATCCTTCCCAATGCCTAGATCTGCTAGGGGAAGTCTATGTCCTTTGTATTCAATCACAATTAGAGGTGAATGGTCAGACTGTGCCCTTTGCATGCTCTGCCCAGTTGCATTGAAATAGCTCAAGCTGATAGATGGCAGCTGCCGTCTCCAACAATTCCTTTTTTTAAACAGAGGTGTCAAACTCATTTTCATAGAGCAACCTAGCAGCCTTATGGTTGCCTTCACAGGAGCACTGAATCCAAGGATGGATAATTCGTGAATAAAGAGGGCCGATTATATATATTTTTTTCCTAGTTAAGTTTTACCCAAAAGAAACACTGTTTCTGTTTTTGAAAAAATATAATTGCTACAACAAACACCAACACCTTCAGATACATTCATCCTGTCTGAAGGAGCATCTAGAGCAGGGGTCCTCAAACTAAGGCCCGGGGGCCGGATACGGCCCTCCAAGGACATTTACCCGGCCCTCGCTCAGGTCAACCTATGTCTGAAATTACTTGAAAGCTCATAACAACAACAATCCTATCTCATCAGCCAAAAGCAGGCCCACACTACCCATTGAAATACTAGTAAGTGTTTACAAAGTTTGAAGACCCCTGATCTAGAGTTTAGAAACACAAAAACTAGTAAACAGCAGGAGTGGCTTCAGAGCATGTGCACAATATCTTCCAGAAATTATTTTTCATAGTGAATCCCTTGCAAAGTGATCCAATATTGATCCTAAAAGTGCACGAGCACTAGGACAAAGCCCCATTCTTAAATCAGAAATTCAGACCAGTGCAGCATTCCCCCCTCCCCATAAAACAGAATGGTGTTCAATCTAGCTGTGAAATACTGATGAAACTTGTCAGTGACTTGGATGACAGAATAAAGGTTATGCTCATCACATTGCTAGATGGCAATAGACTAGGAAGCTAGACTATACTATAGCAGGCAGATTAATTAATAATGCCACTCAATTCTGCTTTGACCAGATTTCACATGGGATACTGTGTCCAGTTCAGGGCACTACAGTTCAAGAAGGATAACAAGAAATGTGAACGTTGACAGAGAAGGGACACCAAAATGGTAAATGTTTTAATATCCAAACCCTAAGAGAAACACACATGGAACTGGATTGCTTTCATATGGTCCTTTTTGGATGATTCTGTGAATGTAACCAGTTAGACATTATACATAGTAAGCTATTGCAATTTTAAATAGATTTAAACAAAAGTGGCCAGTTTAGATCAACTTGATCTGTGCTTTCAAAAGTGGACGGAGGATGCATTGAGCCTGAAAGTGGATTGGAAACAGATACATGCCTATTTTTTCAAAGCAGAGATCACAAGTCCTAGACATTCTAGATGCTGCATTAGTATGTTATGATTTATAGTATGTTTAGGTATGTGGTAAACCAGTAATTGACAGCAAGCAGATGTATTCACATAAGACAGCTTCATTATCTGAAAATGTAATAATAATAATAATAATAATAATAATAATAACAACAACAACAACACTTTATTTATATTTTGCTCTTCTCACCCCGAAGGGGCTCAGGGTGGATTACAATACATATACGTGGCAAACATTTAATGCCGCTTTGAATAGACAATTCACAGGCAGACAGAACAGAAGGAGGTGCCATGGAAGGTTGGGCTCAAGTCTGGGGTTGCTGTTGCTCTATCCTCTATGACGAAGAGCCGTCAGGACTTCCTCCTTCCTTTTGGACACCTAGCATTTTCTGATCTTCTTTCTTTTATGGCGTCGTAAAACACCTCCCCCGCTTTTAGCGGTACCTAATTTTTCTAATCACATCTAAAGCTGTTTTCGAATTGCTTAGGTAAACAATGAGCTAGGTTGACAGTTGGCAGCTCATGCCAACTCGAGGCTTCGAACTTGCAACCTGTTGGTTGATAGATCTTACAATTGCTGATGATTTACCAGCTGTGCTAAACCTCCAGCTCTGTAAGCAAAAGGTAAGACCTTTTGCTGCCCATGAAAGAGCAACAAATTACACCCCCCACCCGAAACAGAAAATCTCATAAATGCCTTTCAATTTCCTTTGTACTAAAAATACAAATATCACATGCATTAAATCACTATTTTGCTACTCTTTCATGTCTGCCACCCCATTCTGCTCTCTGAAGCAACTGCCTTGTTCTGCTTAATGTTAGTTAGCTTAAGGCCTGACAACAAATAAATCACACAAGCCTCTGTCAGACTAGTTTATAAACTAAAAAAAAGTTAAAGAAACAAAAGGATAGGATAATGAGAGGATAAAGAATGTCACCTTCCTTTTCGTTTTATATATAAACAGAATAAAAGTGGTATATTAAATTATGTCATTAATAAGTCCAAAATCACATTTAGTTAAGTTATGTTCCTTTTGCGTGAACACGAGGAAATCAGATAATAGCAAAAGAAGAATATGGGCCCTTCCATACAGCCATATCATCCAGAATATCAAGGTAGAATAACCCACATTATCTGCTTTAAACTGAGTTATGAGTTCACACTGCCACATATCCTAAATCGAAGCAAATATTGTGGGATTTTATTCAGCTGTGTGGAAGGGGCCAACGTGGAGTATCAAGAGTAATGAGATAAAAGCAACAGCTCAAAATCCAAAATGAAGTTAGATTGTACTGTGAATAATTTTCTGTTGTGAAATGTTGATTTTCAGATTGTGAGGAAGAGAAATGGTTCCAAAGAAGTATTCTTTGGAGACAACAGACACCCTGATTCTGAAGTACTCTACTTGAAATGGTAGTTGCCGTTTCAATGGAACGGAATTCCACACAACCATATTTAGGTTGGCAGTCTTATATCGACAACATTTTGATATATTCAACAAAGACTGATATGTGAATCAATCTTGCTCCCTGTCTGTTAGACGCACTAGAACTCTGGGAACACCATCCAGACTTACAATGTAATACACACAGTGACAGGTGGAAAACTACAAATAGTGCAGGCATACGATTGGAAAAAATGGTGGGAGACATCCAGGATTTTAAAAATGGTTTCGCAAGGGGAATGCAAGGGAAGGGTGTAAAATAGCTTATTACAGCCTTTCAAACAGTCATTTGTTTTCAGTAGCTTAGTGGCACTTCTCTTTTGCATTTCTATTTAGCTTGTTCCTACTTCCAGCATAATGAGCAAGGAAGAAACTACATTTCTAGTGTATTGAAAGTCCCTTATTAGAATGTATCTTTCCTTTTAACACAGTGCTATCACTGGATGCTTTCAAAGGTGTACTAGACTTTTCAGCATTGCTATATTGCTGGGACTGGGCTGTGACCGAGAGGTCATGGGGTCAAAGCCAGCCCAGGCCAGAGTAAGCTTCCGACCATTAATAGTCTAGCTTGCTGTCAACCGCTGCAGCCTGAAAGACAGCTGCATCTGTCAAGTAGGAAATTTAGGTACTGCTCTATGGGGGGAGGATAACTTAACTAAATTACAATGCTATAAAACCATCCAGCAGTGTGCAGAAGAATGAGGAAGTACTCCATTAAAGAACCCGGAGACACAAGTGGACGGTGAAGCTGCACCTCGCCCTGTGGCCGGGACCAAGCATACCCTCATGAAGCTGGAAAAGCTGGAATGTTAAATTGCCTCTATGTCTGTCTATATATGTTGTATGTCTAAATGGCATTGAATGTTTGCCATGTATATGTGCATCTGCCCTGAGTCCCCTGCAGGGTGAGAAGGGCGGAATATAAATACTGTAAATAATAAACAAATAAAATATAACTACCTTTAAACAGACACATAATCGACATTACACAGACTGGAGAATAGTTGGCTGCTTCAGACTGACAGCCCAACTGAATCTGTTCTATCCAAATGTGGTTCCAATCCCAATTTTATACTGTCTATTCCAGAGGGCGCCATGCCACCAGCTACCTGACCCAGGGCATTTTAAAAGAAATTGCTACTGAATGACCACTGTCCCATTCCAAAAGCTCTTGAATTGGAAATTCTTCACTACTACACACAATCGTATTATTCAGCTTATGTTGCTAAAAGTGACTGAAAATAAAAGTAGAAATGAGTGCATAGCTGCAAATACATTATCTATCATCCCTTTTTAACTGTTCTAGGTGTGCAAAGTGATGAACATTAGCAATGTTAACTGCATTTAAAATGTGTTGCCAACATCCTTGCTTTATTCAGGAAAAGCTGTGCAATACAAAATGTGTATTAGAAAGTGCTTCATATTTTGTGCTGTTAGCTTCAAAGAACAAAATATGATTTATAGAGAGATCTCAAGGTGAAAAGAAATGGGAGGTGCCGCGTGAATTACCCTCAATCATCAGAGTAATACAACACTTGGCCACACCTGGGTTCCATGATCCTTATCCTTTCTGTGACAGATGACATCAGATTAATTTGTATTTTAATAATATCGCTTTATAGCCCTGTGCTAACGTAGGGATCAGTGTTTTCTCAAGTGCAATGCTTGAAGAAAGAAAGTCTAGTTTTTGCTCATGCTGTAAATATAAGAGCACATATAGGCACTGTATCAAGCTGTTATAGGAAATCAGAGATCACTGTACACTTCGCATATGTTTATCCAGCCTTCCTCCCCTTGGTGAAGGAACGAATGCCTACATCGATGGGGAGAGTGTGTGTGTGTGTGTTGGATGGAATATCTAAAGTGCACCTTGGGTGCATTTTTCCTGAAGAAAGTGGTTTGATATCATGGTACTATTCTATTATCCAGGAGGAGGCCACTAAGGGGCGCTAGAGAGAGGGAAGTCCATTTTATGGGTGTGGAGGGTGGGTGGAAGGAAGGAAGGGTGGATTGAAGGGTTAGAGCAGGGGTCCTCAAACTAAGGCCCGGGGGCCAAATACGGCCCTCCAAGGTCATTTACCTGGCTCTCGCTCAGGGTCAACCTAAGTCTGAAACGACTTGAAAGCACACAACAACAACAACAACAACAACAACAACAACAACAACAACAACAATCCTATCTCATCAGCCAAAAGCAGGCCCACACATCTCATTGAAATACTAATAAGTTTATATTTGTTAAATTTGTTCTTCATTTTAATTATTGTATTGTTTTTATGTGTTTTTTTGCCCTATAAATAAGATATGTGCAGTGTGCATAGGAATTCATTCATGTTTCTTTCAAATTATAATCCGGCCCTCCCAACAGTTTGAGGGACCTGGCCCTCTGATTAAAAAGTTTGAGGACCCCTGGGTTAGAGGGTGGGTCGGAGGGTTAGAAGGCATGATCATCAAGTTTGCAGACAGCACCAAATTGGGAGGGATAGCCAATACAAAGACAGGAGCAAAATTCAAAACGGCTTTAACAGATTAGAGAGCTGGGCCAAACTAACGAAATGAAGTTCAATGGAGACAAATACAAGATCCTCCACTTAGGCAGAAAAAATGAAATGCAAAGATATAGAACGTGAAAAAGATCTTGGAGTACTCGTGGACAACAAGTTAAACATGAGCCAACAATGTGATGCTGCAGCTAAAAAAGTGTGTTATAATAATCCAGATGGGATGCAACTAAGACAAAAAAGCCAATGGGATTTTGGCCTGCATCAATATGAGTCTAGTGTCTAGGTCCAGGGAAGTCATGCTACTCCTCTATTCTGCCTTGCTCAGACCACATCTGGAATAGTGTGTCTAATTCTGAACACTGCAATTGAAGGGAGATGTAGACAAACTGGAATGTGTCCAGAGGAGGGCAACTAAAATGATCAAGGGTCTGGAGAACAAGCCCTATGAGGAGCGGCTTAAAAAAGCTGGGCATGTTTAGCCTGAAGAATAGAAGGCTGAGAGGAGACACGATAACCATGTATAAATATGTGAGAGGAAAGTCATAGGGAGGAGGGAGCAAGCTTGTTTTCTGCTGCCTTGGAGACTAGGCTTCAAACAATGGCTTCAAACTACAAGAGAGTCCATCTGAACATTAGGAAGAACTTCCTGACTGTGAGAGCCGTTCAGCAGTGGAACTCTCTACCCCAAAGTGTGGCAGAGGCTCCTTCTATGGAAGCTTTTAAACAGAGGCTGGATGGCCATCTGTCAGGGGTGCTTTGAATGCAATTTTCCTGCTTCTTGGCAGGGGGTTGGACTGGATGGCCCATGAGATCTCTTCCAACTCTGTGATTCTATGATTCTATGCTTTTTTGTTGAGTTCAGAGCACAGTCACATTAGGAATAAGAGTACAAGACTAGCCTCCCACTGCGCATGTGCGAACTGTTGCTCCCTGAGGCTTTACTTTTTGCTGCGAGGCGCAGGGAAACCTGCAGGGGGCGGCAGAGAGAGAAGCGAACCCCCGGGAAGGCAGAGGATGCGACTCTATCACTTCTTCGGCGGAAGCGGTCGCCCTCTACTTCCGAGCCAAAGTCGCACGTGGAATTGAAGGGGCTGATCGAGTGGCAGGGGCTGCTTTTTCCTTCTTCCTGCTTCCCTTCAGTCTCCGAGCTCCAGGTAAGTACTAGTCCAGGTTGATCCGGAATTAAGCACATGGGCGCTTGAGATAGAGGCAGCATTGCTTTCTAACAACACACCAGCTTTGTGTCTTGCACGAAATTATTGAAAATACTATGTAATACTATGTATCCCAAGCATGAGCAAACTTGGGCCCTCCGGGTGTTTTGGACTTCAACTCCCACAATTCCTAACAGCCGGTAGGCTGTTAGGAATTGTGGGAGTTGAAGTCCAAAACACCCGGAGGGCCCAAGTTTGCTCATGCCTGATCTACACTGTAAAGTGAATGCAGTTTGACACCACTTTAACTCCCATGACTCTATGCCATTGAATCCTGGGATTGATAGTTTAGTGAGGCACCAGTACTCTGGCAGAGAAGGCCCAAGACTTTGGGTGTATATGCACTGCCTTGACTCAATGTTATAAAATCATGGGAGTTGTGGTTTTGCAAGGTCTTTAGCTTTCATTGTGCTGGTGCCTCACCAAACTGCGACCCACTGGATTCCACAATGTTCAGCCGTGAGGGTTCATTTCGTGTCAAAAGCATTGCATAAATGAATAAGTATAAAACTGATAAAAATAAAGGGAGCACAAGCAACTAAATAATTGTAGACCAAAAACTGGCAACACCGACTGCATTGTCTGTAGCTTTAAACAGTTCCTCTGTGCATGAGGCAGGGCATTGTGGGCAAGCGTACAAATGCTGAGTTGTTTGTTCTGTTCCACAGTGATACAAGGTGGAGGATTCTTCTAGGTAGTGCCGGGTTGTCCTTTGATCTGCCAACACCACTTCTGAGTCTGTTCAGGGATTTATTTATTTATTTACAACATTTATATGTTGACCTTCTCACCCCGAAGGGGACTCAGAGTTGCTTACAAGATATATATATACCTACAATATATTATATTGTTAGCATATCCAATACTCTTTATCAGACACCCCCCTTTTTGTGCTGGCCCATTTATGTCGGGCAAGTGAAACTCTACTGTGTACACACACACACATATGCTAGTACTGAGACTATGTGTTGAAAACTCATCTCACATTGATATGGGAGTCATACCGTACTTTGAAAATTCAGGATTTATGCCATTTTGGCTTACTGCTGAATCTTAGTGGGTTGTGCTCTTCTCTAGTCGATAGTAATCTATTTTATTAGTGGACTAGAGAAGAGCACAACCCACTAAGATAAAGTTCAGCATTTGTTTTGCTGTCAGCCAAAACCAATACAATTATTATTACCAAATTGACTTAAAAGTAGAAAAAGCTTCTTCTGGTAGTTTTTGGTTTATCAAATATTTGTTAAATTTGTGAGAGCCCCAACTAATTCTGTTTTCTTCACAGAAGTGTGAACCATGACATCTCTCGCACACCAACTGAAGCGTCTTGCACTCCCTCAGAATGATCCCAGTTTATTGTCACGAAGTGAAGCAGCATCACTGCTTTTTGATTGCAAGGAGGCTGCCAATATCGACAGGGAAACCTTTTTTGCCATAGGTGAGTGCGCCCCTTAAGAGCACAGTCAAATACAGGAAAGGATCAGCAATTTTTGGTTCACCCAACCTGTCTGCCACTGATGTTTCCCTTTTCTTTACTCAGATAAAGTTGAATCAGGTTGTTTATCTCTGTCTGCTTATTTATTTACTCTATTTATATTCCACCTTTCTCTCAGGGTAGGTTCCCAGAATGTTCTGTTCTCTTAAATATTTAGAAACAATGATTTAGTTGCATTATTTCAGTGTCTCTGAAGCGTTAAGAGTAAACATTCTTCTTTGGATTGGTCCAAACATTACAGATGTACCCACCAGTCTAAGCATTTGATTGTAAATTTGCCGTAAAAAAGGGTTGGGCAACATTTTTTTGATGTTCTGAGCCAAATAATGCTTTCATGTTTTTGTAATTTATATTCAAACTGAAATTTTCAGTGGGAAATTCCTTTGTTTAATCTTGTCTGATCATCTAGAAACTAATGTAATATCTGTTTAAAGAAGACAAATACTTAACAGATTTTGGAGATATATAATCCAGCTGTTGTTAGTGTATATTTGACAAGGTTGATGTGGGTAGCTTTCATTTCTTTCTCCTAGTTTCTTCTCCAGGAATCTTCTGCATAGAATAATTTAATACTGCCTGAATAACTCTTGAAATGTAAATGATGTTGTGTAATAAATTTGATATATTTTCTAGGGTGCACTGGCCTGGAGGAGTTGATTGGAATCGATGCATCCTTTGAAACATTTCAGCCAACACTTTTCAGTCAAATGTCCAAAGGTTTGGAACGTAGTGTGCAAACTAAAGCAGTGAACCAACAGCTGGATGAAAATATTTCATTGTTCCTTATTCATTTGTCCCCTTACTTCATGCTTAAACCAGCACAGAAATGCCTTGAGTGGCTGATTCACAGGTAATCTATCCATGCCTCTTTACATCTTACAGTTCATTTATTTCAAGTAACAATCTATTCAAAACTCCTTCCCTGTAGATTGACTCCTGGCCATAAGGAAGCAACCTTCCAAAGCAATGCAGGGCTTTTCCCAGCTGTGTACAAAGTTCTCATTTTGTGTGGGGATGTCTTGAGTGGGTGTGCAAAGGAAGCACAAAATAAACTTGGAATATAGGGGCTGTGAAGGGAACATAATGTATCAAAAAGTAGAGGCTTCCCTCTAAGATTCAAACAGGATTTTGAACTGACATAGATTGGATTTGAGATTACACAGAAAGGAACTGGAGCTGAAGGAGAAAGGCTTTTGGCATTGAGAAAGAAGAGGAAAATACCAAATGGTTTTAGGGAGATTAGAGAACAGATTAAAAGAAATCACTATAGTTTCCTACTGTATTTAAGGAACCTATTGTTGTTTTAAGCCTGTCTCTGGCTCCCATTCCTAGGCTGGATTGGAGTCATGCATACCTAAAGCTAAAGAACTCACATTACAATACACTCACAAGTCCATATTTAAATGGTTACCAATAACCCAATCCAGCAGGGGAATAATTGGGGAACAAGGGTAGAGTGAGGGATAAGATTTCTAGGGTCTGGAGTTTTGGAGCCAGCCTGGGTAAATGGAATATCATAGGGAGATTCTGCAATTGTATGTCTTTTTCATACCATGTTAAATAGACAGTGCCGTAACCTGTAAAAAATATTCTAAAGTCAATCTCTCTGACTGAGAAACTTTTATGAATAACTATAGATTTATGTTGTGCTTTGTTTTGTTTAGGTTTCATATTCATCTGTACAATCAGGACAGTTTAGTTGGCTGTGTACTGCCATATCATGAGACTAAACTGTTTGTGCGAGTTATTCAGCTCCTCAAAATTAGTGACCCAACTCATAAATGGCATTGGCTTCATCCAATTCAGGTAAAGACATGAAAAAGAAATCAAAATGTATGAGAAATGGATTTTATCAATATGATCATAGGTGACTATATTTACACAATGGCATAATAATAAATTAACTTATACAGTTTGACTCCTGCATCTGTGCGGGATACGTTCGGGGCATAGGTTCTTGAACTTGCTTTAGAAAGTTTCACCAAAGTTTCTCCAGAGGATCAAGAAAATGTATATAGAGGACATATATTGTCAAATGTGGATTGATAAAACCACATTTACTGGTTCTATGGGTACAGCGGTCTTACTATGGTTGAAATTCCAAAGGGATTTATTTTCTTTTTCTTACTCTGAGAAGACTGTGCTGATCAAATTTCATTTACTGATTTGGATTGGGTGCTTTTTAGTCTCTTATAGTTTCCATGCTCTTTTATCTCTATTTTCCTACTCTGCTTTTTAAGTTTTGCTTTCCTAGCACTAATTTTTAATATACATAAATGAACTGATGAAATAGATAAACTTGGAGTTGAAATGAATTCAGTTATCATGGTTACCCTGTGAAAATACAAAATATTTTTACTTTGGCACTAAAGAATAAGCAAACCAGCAGGTACTTGTTACTTCAGGAAATATTCACCTCTGGTGAATTTTCTGATGACTGCGGCAGCAAGTCTTCTTGGATAAGTCTTTGTGCCTCTTGAGACATGCAGAGTTGCCTGTTCTTCTTGCTCCAGCTCTGTCGTGCTCAAACTGCAACTCAGAATGTGGAATGGACTTTGACTGGGCTTTTCTAATTGTCAATTGAATCCATTCCAATTTCAAATTGAAACACAACAAAATGTAAAACTAAGGGGAAGGTTATTATTTCTGCAAGGCACTATATGTGCAAAAATAATCCATTTTAAAATCCACTGAATTGAATTCTAAGATGTAGTTCCATGGTTCCATGAGCTATGTTGTGACTGTGTTTTGAAATGTAACTGTTATATATGACATTTTGACTAATTCTTTGTTTTTCATCTTCTCCATTTCAGAAACCAGGAGTCCCTCTTGCAAGGGGAACTTTGATTACACACTGCTACAAAGACCTTGGTTTCATGGATTTCATATGCAGGCTAGTGACAAAATCTGTAAAGGTTGGTGTGATGTCCCATGACAATGCCAGATTGCTAGTTTCTCTGCCATCTAAATATATACAGGCAGTCCCTGAGTTACAAACATCCAACTTCCATTAAAAAAAAATGTTTATTTATATCCTGCTTTTTCTCTCCATACAGAGATTCAAAGCAGCTCACAAAAGTGTTACAATGCACCTTAAAATATAGAAATATTAAAACAGTATTAAACATAATATTTAAAACAATTCAGGTTAAATCTATAAAAGCATATAAAATCACAGCAGCTCCTGACATGATCTTAAAAATCTTCATCTTTAAATGCCTGTTTGAATAAAAAGGGTTAAGCCTGTTGCCAGAAGGACAGCAGGGAACTTCCAGAGTCAAGTGACAGCCACCGAGAAGGAAGACCCGCTCTCTCATTCCCACCAACCAAGCTTGAGATGGGACTGAGAGAAGGGCCTCTCCTGAAGATCTCGGGGCCTAGGCAGGTTTGTACAAGGGAATGCATTCAGCCAAATAGCCTGGACTGAAACATGCAAATGTCTCATAGTTAAGAACGGGAGTGAGACAAAAGGGAGTGAGAGAAATCTACCTCTCAAGAAGGAAATTCATTCCTGGAAGAGTTATCTTGGGGAAAAGGTGTCTCCAATGAAGCTTTATCACCAATCCTTGTTTCCACAACAAGTCAAATTTTTGAAAATCCAATTATCACAGGGATGGAAAGTGAGGTGAAATCTTCTGAACAAGGGCAAAGACAGCAAAACAAACACCACAGGTGTGTTGACCCTTCCCTATACTATCCAAAGCTAAAGAATATATATTTTTGGCTGCGGTTACACTTACAATTTACCTGTTCTGACTTACAAACAAATTAAACATAAAAACAAACGTAACTTGGGGACTTCCTGTATATATCACAGAAGACCTTCCATATAGAAAGGGGAATGCTGTTCCATAAGCTTTGCTCTTTGTTTTATTGTCATCCTAAATGCTTTCCCTCCTTCTTTCTAGGCCTTTTCAGCACAGCCTGAGAGCTTACCCCACATGAGAGTCCTGTTTACTTTTTATGCCTCTACCATTGTCTCTGCCCTTGGAGCTGCAGCAAATGTAAATGACACTCTGGTCTCCAAGTTGCTTCCTTATATCCAAAAGGTGATAATTGTTTTCTTCATATTGCTCTTCTCCCTTTTGATTTTGGCTTTTGGTTTCCAAGAAGATATTTTAAAGTTGCTGAAGAGTCTTGCATTTTGAATTTGCTTCATTTTGAATATTAATTGTCAGAGAAACATCTGTTGGAAGTTTCCATGGCATTGTAAAAGTCAAGTTGGCTCTGTCAAATGTTTATTTCCAGTCTCTTCCATTGTGTTTTACCTATTAGCTCTTTAACTGTTTAAACCTTTAATTTTCTCTGTGTTTAATTTTTTAATATTTTTCTATAAACAAAGTTCATTGGCGGAAATAAGTGTCTTGTAATTATTTATCCTTATGCCATTCATGTGTCTTTTTATTGTTTAAAATAGGGAAAAGTTATTCTATCATGTCAGAAATTTTAAAAAAAGATATTTCAGTGTGTGTTGTACAGATTTTATGTTCAATATTTTACTTATTGGTCATGAGAAATGTGATTCAGTGAAGCACATCTTCTGTTTCTTCATTGTTAACTATTTTTAATTCCTTTTTCTTCCCAGGGTTTGAAATCTTTATTGGTAGATTACAGAGCAGCAACCTATATGATCATTTGCCAGTTGGCTGTGAAAATGACAATGGAAAACTCTTTGGTTCATTCCTTAGCACTACAAATCAGTAAAACTTTTGCCAAACTACAATCGCTTATTAAAGAGGGACTAAGCTGCCTAATCATCTTACTACAGAGTCAAAAGGAAGAAGGACTTGGAGAAAAGTAAGAACTCAGATGTTCATAATTGGGAGAGAAATGAATTGTCAATCACTGAAACAGCTTAGCTGCAGTTACTTTTGTTTCTTGCTTCACAAAATTTGTATTCAGGCTGATCATTACTATTCCCTTGCCACTATGCCATAATATTTATCAGTCCATGAAACTACTATTTTCAATAATGGTTGGCAGTGGAAATTGTATTGAAAGTGTATTTTTATTGTATTTGAGACAGGTGGGTGGCCAGTAAGCCTCTAGCTAGGTTGGGGGTTGTTACGGATTCAACACACATACGCCTGACACCATTTTTCAGGTTAAAACCCCAATTTACTTATTAATTTAAACTGGATAACTAAATCCCCATTCTAAGTCTATGAAGCAAAAACTAAAGTTCCTACAGAACTGCAAGCATTATCTCGACCAAATATTTATAATTTATTAACACTTTCATCATGGCAATAGCCGTCATAGTGAATGTGACCAAGTTTCAATGTTTGTTTGTTTTCCTAGCTATGGGCCTGTGGCCAGATTTTTTGTAGCTAATTACTTAGATTTTAGTTTATTTTGATGTATTACACTTTTGCTTATTGAACTCTTAACAGTTTTCTTCCTGATTCAACTGTGATAGGTATAAACTTTCAGTTGTATGTCAAAGTCCAGACAGTCCCTGAGTTATAAACATCCCAATTACATATGACTCCTAGTTACAAATGGTAGTGGCAGCTCTAGGTGGGCCTCGATGGGGGCAGTGCATCAGACCTTTTGCAGTATTTGAAAATGTTTAAACGTTTACATACATCGGTAAAAGAAATATGTTAAGATAAGCATCTGTCCAAATTGTATTTAAAGTTCAAAATCCATGCACTTTTTGTAGCTTTTGTTAGTATGGTGTGGGGTTAAAGCCATTGTCTGTATCTTCATTAGAAATATTTTATCTCATTTTCTGTTCCTTGTCTGGAGTTACACTTTAAAACGTATCTGTTCAGATTTGCATCCAAATTCAATGTAAGAACAAACCTGCAGGATCTATCTAAATGGCCAGCCACCATGAAGTCTGAGGATGTGCTTTATTTCCTAAAACTGGGCAAAGTGCTTAGAGCAAAAACTCTAGGTCAAAACTCTGGGAGTTTTGGCCTAGAACTCCCAGAAACCCCAGCCGGTTTACCAGCTGTTAGGATTTCTGGGAGTTGAAGGCCAAAACATCTGGGGACCCACAGGTTGAGAACCACTGACATAGAGGTTAGTTGGATGACTTGAGTTAATTACTTCGCTGCTAGTGAGTGCTTCCTGCCAATCATCATTAGTGAGCACTCGTGTCCAAGTATGATTGTCTTCCAACACTTCCTGCCAATGGCTAGAAGGGAAAGAGAGCTCAGTTTTTCTGGCTCTTCTGAGATAATTAACTTACAAACACATCCATGGCAAATAAAGCTTGAGAAGAGTTCTTCATTCTGGAATACTGGTACACTTACATAACAGGGCTGGAGTGCAATGACTTCCTAGCTTAGGCAGAATTAATTGGTAACTGAAGCATTTCATGAACTTTGGTGTGCCGTAAACCTCATCTTGAGATTCTTGAGATTCTGGTTCATTAATATTTGCAGTACAAATTTTAATCTGATAATTAAAATTTGTACTGCAAATATTAATGAACCAGAATCTCAAGAATCCATGGTCTGTCACATTTAGCATTTTTCATTTATTCCAATGAAAAGTGCAAGTATGTTTTTGCTTAGCTGTACTCTGATCAATGAGACTTCTTAATGTTCATACAGGAATGTATATATGATATCTTTAATGTTCTCTTGCAGGCCATTTAAATATCTTTGTAAGGTACCCAACTTGACTACAACTCTTCATGAAATTTCTACAGATTATGATATCAGTCCAATTTTGCATTATATTTTTCCACATATGGTTCATTCAGTTATTTATGGGGAAACAGGTATGTTGATATAACCTTGTCACTTATAAATAGAATTTGGTTGTTATACTTTCCTTTGAAACATGATTATATGAAGTAGTAAGCCATAAGAAGATGTTTACATTGGCCTTCTGCTCTTTTAAGCCATATACTTCTCAAATTGAGCCTCGTTATTTCTGTCTCCATAAAGAAATGCTGCTTTGTATTGTCGAAGGCTTTCATGGCTGGAATCACTAGGTTCTTGTGGGTTTTTTCGGGCTATAGAGCCATGTTCTAGAGGCATTTCTCCTGACGTTTCGCCTGCATCTATGGCAAACATCCTCAGAGGTTGAGAAGGTCTGTTGGAAGTAGGAAAAATGGGTTTATATATCTGTGGAATGGCTGGGGTGGGGCAAGGAGCTCTTCCCTGCTGCAGTTAGGTGTGAATGTTTAGCTGATCACCTTCATTAGCATTTGAAGGCCTGCCTGAGTCTGGGAAAATCTGTTGCTGGGAGGTGTTAATCTGTTCCTGGTTTTTTCCTCTCTGTTGTTTAGCTGTTAATTTTAGAGTTTTTTAATACTGGTAGCCAGATTTTGTTCATTTTCATGGTTTCTTCCTTTCTGTTGAAATTGTCCACATGATGGTGGATTTCAATGGCTTCTCTGTGTAGTCTGACATGGTGGTTGTTGAGTGGTCCAGCATTTCTGTGTTCTCAAATAATATGCTGTGTCCAGGTTGGTTCATCAGGTGCTCTGCTATGGCTTACTTCTCTGGTTGAAGTAGTCTGCAGTGCCTTTCATGTTCCTTGATTCGTGTTTGGGCAATGCTGCGTTTGGTGGTCCCTATGTAGACTTGTCCACAGCTGCATGGTATACGGTAGACTCCTGCAGAGGTGAGAGGATCCCTCTTGTCCTTTGCTGAACGTAGCAACCACAAGTCAACATTCTGAGTAGTTTAAACAGTGATTTATTGTTGTGTCTCAGCTCAAACACAGTTTCCTCTTGGCCTGTTTCCTCTACCATCTGTCGTGAAACAGGAACGAGCAAAATGGGAGCAAACTGGAACCAAAAAATTGAAAAATTAGTTTAGTTTTTAATCTTCAGGATAATCATGGTTAAACACCAAACTATGACTTATGGAAACAATATTTTGGTGTGATATAACTTCTGTATTGCTCCCCATGTCAGTATAGTTCCGAAAAAGTTACTTTCACCTTTGCTGTTTGACTTTAAATGCCTTGTAAAATTACTCAGTTTTTGATTGTTATCCCTTTGGTTTCAGAAACAGAAGAAGAATCTGACATGGTTGATAATCAAATCTGCAAAAAACATCTAGAAGCTATAATTAACAATATACCATTAGAAAAAAACATGGATCATTTATTGGCCTGGTAAGCTACATTCTACTGGTGCAGCTTTATTTGACATTTTATGAGTTCTTGAGAGCATCCACTTAGACTTTGACTCCCTGTCCTCCACATCAATGGTAATAGGAAATATCTTGATGTTTCAGCTTTTGTAGCTCTGTTAGATATTTTATTAGTAAAGTAGATATGTGTGTAAATCATTCAGGTTTGTGAAAAGAAATCTCCATAAAGACCAATTTTTAAAAAGCTACCACAGACATGAGAGAAGCCTCCTCGCAGGATTGCAAGACATCCGGGCGTCCCCTGGGCAACGTCTTCGTAGGTGGCTCCAGAAGTTTTAAAATGAATTGAGAAAATGGTCAAAGTTAACTGCATCGGATGGCTGTTATACATGTGTTCTCCTTGCGGGTTTCCCATAGCCAAATGCAATTCAAAATTATTGTTCCTTGGTGAGTGCCATTATATAAACCATTGGCTGCTGGTCCACAGAGTTTCCAGGAAAGGAATATTTGCAGCCAGTACACATAAATATGGTACCAGTATCTGGCATACTAAAAGAAAGTTGTGCAGTCCATATCAGATAGCTTAAAATGCACTGCAATATATTGTCCGCTGTTGGAAAAACATAGTGTTAGGTTAAAGTTGTTTTGATCCCTCATGGATTATGTCACCACTGTCATCCTTTTCTTGCCATTTCAGTACATTTCTAGAAGAATACATCTCGTGCGGCACAGAGCTTAATGCTGATCCTGCTAGAATGACTGAGATCAATAAAGAACTGCTTCCTTTAATCAGACTTTTTGAAAGAAAGTAAGTAATTGGTTATCTATTAAACTAGTGTATCTTGTTTGCAGCAATCAGTGGTCTTAGGACTTGCCTTTGAAGACAACCCAGAAGCTTCAATTAGTCTAATGGGCGGCAGCCAGATTTCTAACTGGGGCAGTGTACAAGGAGCATACTACTCCTCTGTTACGTCAGCTCCACTGGCTGCCAGTTCACTACAGAACTCAATTCAAAGTGCTGGTCTTGACCTATAAAGCCCTAAACGGTTCTGGTCCAACTTACCTGTTCAAACGCATCTCCTCCTATGAGCCAACAAGAGCTTTAATATCGTCTGGAAAGGCCCTGCTCTCGATCCCACCTCTTTCGCAAGCGCGATTGGTGGGGCAAGAGACAGGGCTTTCTCAGTGGCAGCCCTCTGGTTGTAGAACTCCCTCCCCAGTAACATCAGGCAGGCCCCGTCTCTTCTGGTCTTCAGAAAAAATACAAAGAAATGGCTTTGTACACAAGCGTTTGCAGAATAAATCACTATGATTTCGACACAGTCTGAATAAGGATTATGAGCAAGGATTATGGATGAATGCAATCATGCACTTTATATGTTTTTAACCGGTTTTTATTCTATGTATTTTATTTGCTTACCATTTTAACTGTTTTTACTTTATTGGATATGTTTTATAACTATGTTAAGCGCCATTGAATCTTGCTGGAGTTGTAAACCACCTTAAGTACTCTTCAGGGGTGAGAAAGACAGGGAATAAATGAAGCAAATAAATAAATAATAGGAGTTGGTACTAGAATATATGTGTGTGTGTGTGCAGAATTATATACATATAGAATTTATAAGTGTATGCTTTCATTTTTCTCCCACTTCACAGTTTTCCTACTAGTTGGGGACCAAGTGAATGGGTTTAGAAGCAGATAGAATTTTTTTATCATTGAGTCTTAGTAAAAATACTAGTTGAAAAATACATGGTGAAAACCGATTAAATTTATTGGTTTGACACAGTTCCCTCAGTCTCCTGTCTGCTAGTCTAAAATAGGACCTTGTACTGCTTCTGGAAAATTCTGAGCCTTGTTTTTTTTATAAAATGGAATTTTTGTATTCATTGTTGAAAGTTGGTAAAACATATTGTGGATTGTTAGGACTTGGGGTAAAAATAATCACATTAGTGCAGATATGGCTGGACTGGAAGGATAGGCAATGGCAATTCTGCTTCAGTACCAAGTGTTGGTGAAAGAAAAAACAGGAGAAACTAAAAAGAACCCTCTATTGCAGTGGTTCTCAACCTATGGGTCCCCAGATGTTTTGCCCTTCAACTCTCAGAAATCCTAATAGCTGGTAAACTGGCTGGGATTTCTGGGAGAACCATTGCTCTATGGGAGTATGGTAGAACGAGTTATATTTTAGTCTGTTCCATTTCAGGCTTACTATTCTGAGCAATGAGGATTCTAAACGAATAATACTCCGTCACTTGATACTGCTTTGTCTTTTGCACTACTTCCCACCTCCATGGATTCACAATCCCACTTAATAGATGAAGCAAGATATGGGAGAAGAAGTGTTTCTAGCAAGGCCTTCATGGCACAAATTGGTTCTGCAGGTTCTTGCTGCAAACCTGTTTGAAGCTATTGTTGGTCTTAAAAGGGGTCTAAGCGGACACTCCCTTGAAGTAGTATATTGTAATGGTCTCCATCTGTTTCAGAGGCGCTTTCGGCCATAATCCAGTGTAACGTGATGGTGAAAATGTATTCTCCTTGGTACTGTTGGCACTGTTGAATTGGAATTTTCACCAGTTCTAACTAACATAGTCAGTGGAGGAGGATAATGGAAGCTTAGCAATATCTGTAGGCTGCATGTTGCTCACCTCAATTACATTTATTAGTTGTCTGAAAAATTATTTCAGTTGTCCTGAAAGTCTAGAAACTGGATGCCTTAAAATGTTCCCTAAAATACAATGCTACTTCTTCATTTATGGCAGGTACTCTAAAACATTAGATTTGGTACTGGAGCAGTACTTGAAAGATGTTAGAAATCCCAAGGAGCAAGATCTCTTCCATCAATTTATTTCCCTTTCATTGAGTGGTGGTAAATACCAGGTGAGTCAAAGTAATGTTGCCAATTCAAGGTTTGTTTGTTTTTCTTTGTTATCACTGACACATTAAAGGTACTGAGGGTGGTATTTGTCTACTTTGAGCTGAACTTTGAGCTGCTGTGGTTTCCTATGATCAGGGTCAGTTAAAAGAAACCCCTATTATATGCTAAACTATTGTCTTTACATGATGATGTGAATTTGCCTTTTCTTCGGGACTATTTTATTCTGAATATTTTTATGGACAGTTAATAGTATAATTTTTAAAATATGTCTTAAATATATTTTTAGTTTCTGGAAGACTCAGATACATCTCTGCTACTTAGCTTGAATCATCCACAGCCAGCAGTCAGACTCCTGGCTGTTCAGCATCTGGAGGAAATCATTGACCAATCAAAGGTAGGTTCCCTTTCATCTTCACACGTGAGTGCTTGCCTGTAGTGCTTTTGGTAGACTTTTAGTATGTTTACATTTTTCCTGTGACCACTGTGTGTACAGAATGCTGATCTCAGTAGGCCTTTGCTCAGATATAGCATAGAGATTTTTTTTAATTATTTCTCTATCACTTCCCAGCTCCCAAGTGCTCCTATGGCAAACAAATAACAACCAATTAAAGATCAAAACATTTTTAAAAAACATTAAAATATTCTTTATAAACTCCAAAAGGCAGTCTAAAATCCTCCTAGAGTCTAATTTTGAAACAGTTAAAACAGTAGTTTCAAAATGTTGACAGTCATGCATAACAACACTGTTTTGGCTATATATTCTTAATACAGTCAGTCTTCTGTATAGTAAATTCTCAATATTTATTCCTCTTAGTCTGTGTTTCAAAACTAGCTTGGGTACCTGGCGTTTCTTGGGATATTTGAAAAAGTCAGTTTTTATGCATAAGTTTGTGGGTGAGCTACAACTCACATCATGCCAGATTAACCCTGAAAAACTCCATCAATACTTAAAGCTTGTTATGTTGGGCAAGTCTGCACTAGATGCATAATTGGTGGGGTTCAGTGTGCCTCATGTACAGGAGAAGAATTGTTGGAGGCTACAGACAATGCCATTGGTATTGCCCGTTTTTGGTCAAAAAATATTTAGCCGCCTGTGCTCCTTCTATTTTTATCAGTTTTATACTAATTTATGCAATGCTTTTGGTATGAAATAAATAAAGTGTTCTCTCTGACTGTAGAGTAAATTACAACTCCCACTATGGTGAGTCAGTCCCCTTGAACCCCTCCAGTAGGTTGAGTTATTCATGGGAGTTCTGTATGCCAAGTTTGGTCCAGGTCCATCGGTGTTTGGGTTCACAGTGCTCTCTGGATATAGGTGAACTACAGCTCCCCCCAAATCAAGATGAATTTTACCCAAAGACCTCCCCCAAATCAAGATGAATTTTGCCCAAAGTCCTCAAGTATTTTTTGCTGGTCATTGGGGCTCTGTATGCCAAGTTTGGTCCAGTTCCATCGTTGGTGGAGTTCAGAGTGCTTATTGATTGCAGGTGGACAATAAATCCCAGTACCTACAACTCCGAAATGTCCACGCCAATTCCCCTGAAAACCCATCAGTATTCACATTTGAACATATCGGGTATGCATGCCAAGTTTGGCCCAGATACGTCAGTTTGGGTTCATAATGTGCTCTGGATGTAGGTGAACTACAACTCCTATAAATCTCTCCAAAGACCTTCAGTATGTTTTGTTGGTCATGGGTGTTCTGTGTGTCAAGTTAGTTCCAGATCCCTTGTTGGTGGATTTCAGATTGCAGGTGAATTATACATCACAGTAACTACATCTCCTATAAATCATGGTGAATTCTCCTCAAACCTTTCTACTATGTTCAGTTGCTGATCAATTCCTCTGTTTGCTGTATGCCATAGAAGAGGATAGGAAAGGGTTAAGGGAGAGTAGGGGTCATACAAATGTCATACCAATGGAGAAAGTAAGAAACACTGGGGTGTCTGTGATGGAGGAAAAGCAGAAAATCTAGGATGAAATTGTCCCTGTATGAAAGCCTTTACTTGGATGATGTGTTTGTGGAAGATATTGGCAGGGTTCTTATGTATGTTTACGGTACTCTATAACCTGCAATGTCATTGGAGGGAGGGCCATTGGTGTAAGTCTGGGAATGAGAATCTTGAAAAATCTATGGATTGTTCTTGTTTGTGGGGATGTCATAAAGCACTAAAAGGCTTAGCCTACTACTGCAGCTATGATTATATGGGAGACTTGATATATGAAAGGTATAATTACTCTAGTAATACTGTGTTTGCTTCAAAATAGGACTTATTTTTCACAAAGTGTTAATCTATGATAGTTAATTTAATTTCAAAATGTTTGTTTTTCTTCCCCTGCATTTTTTATAGGAGGGCTTTGATGATTCTTTCATAGAAGAGGCAATTTTAGCACGACTAAAAGATGATAATTTAGATGTGATTTGCTCAACTCTTAGTATATTGGAGGTATGTCTTCAGCAGTGGATCAAAAATTGTTGGTGTTTAGAACTAGTCATGAATGCCTGCCGTATAATTGCCATGCACCTCTGGAAAAAAATTCATTATTAATGCTCTCCATTGAAAAGCAGCAAATGAAATAAAGCAGTAGGCTTGATCTCCATTTTTTAAAAATTATTCCTATTTTTAGGCCAGGCTTTGTATCTCCATTTGTATAGAATAATTCAAAGTTCCTTGGGTTTTACTATTTAAAATAAGTGGGGTTTTTTCTAGAATATGAAATGCATATTGAGAATATATCTTCCATAGACATTTTACACTACACCATTATATATAGATTACATTTCTTTTACATGCTTTACTTTATTCTAGACTCTCTTCGTAGCTGCGAAGACTTTTAGTGAGCAAATTTGCTACAGCCTATTGAGTCTCTTTGAAAGAGCTGACCTCTCAAAGAATGAAAAATGGTAAGCGGTTATTTTACTGCTTTCTTATTGGTAAGTTCTAAAGGGTTTTTCCCTCAGTCAATCACTTGGGATGCTTTAACAGAACCTTTGTACGCAATATGAGTATTTCATCTCCTTTTAAAATTACCTGATACTTGAGAAATGAAATAGAATTTTTATGCTGTTTCATGCAGTGCTCTCTCGCTTTCAAATTGTAGAAGGGATACTTTTTAATGTATTAGTCTACAATTCTTCATTTTATGGTGACAGCCATTTCTTTTAAATCGACATATCTATTCAAAGTGATGTAGTCACATTCCAGAGATACTCAAGATAGTTTGCTTCATTATACAGAAAGATCGTGTAGCATTTTTGAGACTACCAGAGAGAAAGAAGTTTACAGCATAAACTTTCATACACTTGTCTGCTTCATCAGATGCAACTGATGGTTTAGACTGAATCTTTAAAAAAGTATTTCTCTCAATCTCAAAGATGCTATGACAACTCTTTATATAGTCCTGAATATAGAGCAGTAAAACACGTGACCCCTTCCATTTAACCAAGCATGGAATAAGAGGATTTGTGTTTTAAATCATAACACTGCTCCAAGCAGTACAAACACTCTAAAAATCTTGAATTGTATGTTTTATTCTAGCAATAGATGCAGCACAGCCCTACTGTTAGAAAGAGGAGTGAATAAATTTTGCTCCGATAAAAAGGCAGCAAATTGTTGGTTACTACTACTGTATGTGTTGCCAGGGGTGCAGAGATGCTGATAGGATTTTTTCTTTGCTTCAGGTTCCAAAATGTCTTGACTGAACTTGGGTTGCAAAATTACCCATTCTTCCTTCTTCCATATATGTTCTAGGTGCGAGATCCTAGAGACTGTAATCCAAGTCTTGAGGAGAGATGGAATTCTTAAAAAGAATAAAGACATCTTAAACCAGTTAGTTCTGCAGCTGCTGCCATTTATAGTAATTACCATCAATGACTCAAAATCTACTGAATGCAAAATTGCCCTTTTCATAGCAGAGTCTGGTATTTGTTCCCTGCATCCTTTGCTGAAAGGCTGGCCAGAAAGTAAGTCATGAAAACATACTTTGTTATGCAATGTATTTATTGTATAAATGTTTAGGGTTTTTTTTAAATTTAGAATAGCCACAGAAGTATGATTAAAAAAAGAGTGCCAGTTGTGGTGTTGTGGTTATTTATTTGTACTATGGAAATAGCTAGTAATTGGACATAAATAGACTTCTAGACTTTATTCAGGGAAAGAAAGCATAATGATTATTATTATTATTATTATTATTATTTTATTTTATTTTATTTTTGTACCCCACCTCCATCTCCCCGAACAACATATTTAAAATAGCACATTAAAATTCAAATAACATCATAAAACAACCACGTATATAACACAATATAAAAAACCATTGAGCAACAACCAGTGGTCTGAAATAGTAACAGTTTCTGGTTTCGGGCAAGCGGACTGATGCAAATAAATTGTGAGGACAGAGCTAATGGATAATGTGCAAATACCAGATGACAAAACTAGGGATGAAGGGCAATATAGGATGGAACATTATAACCCTGAGCAGGGAGCAGTAGAAAAGTGCAGGGACTAGATAAGAAAGATCACAGTTTATACGAAACAGTATATATATCTGAAAAACAACAATAATATTGTGATATTTTTAATGAATCGAATAAAACATTCCTGAAGGTCAGGGTTTTGTAAAACTTTATCCAATCCCCCATTTGTATTAGCCATGGTGTTTTCTGTTAATTTCTGATCTGTTTTGTTGTTGTCTTTCTAAAATAGCTTTCCAAAAAGTGGTTAAAGCACCAAAGCCTGAAAATTTGATATATGCATCTAATGGAAAACTGATCAAGCTCCTGTCTGAGAACCTAATTTTAGAGGATCCTTCTTTTCTGTCACAAATGGTACATGTGCCAATTTACAGTATCTTTTTTAAAATAAGACAATTTTTACAATTGATTCAGCAAGTGGAATGTTTGATATGGGTGGTATGCATGCATTAAAGGGATATGTATTATAATTACTCTAACAAGTTCAATGATAGACATAGTGTGTAAATTCACAGTGATGCAATTGGAAGTCAAAGGGCTAAATATGAAGCTGTCACCTGTCTGATGATTAATTCATCCAGCATCATTCTTTCTTCCCTGACCATAGAAGCTCACTGAAGTCTCAGCCAATGGTTTGTTATAGCATTACTGCTTGGCATTTCTAGTTTACTATGATAGGTCTTACTCACTTGATTGTTTGTTTAACACTGTAGTATTTTTGTATTAATGGATTTTTGTACCCTTGGGATAAAGGATCGACAGAACATTCTTGTATATCAGGAAGACTACGTGTTCCTTTTAAAACATAATACTATTTCATAAGTTCAAGAGGAAATTCAGGATGACCCCTGGCACTTAGAGCTTCCCCTTAAGAGAATGAACATATTTTACTGGGAGTGAACACATTTTGCAATTAGAGCATCTTGCACTCATTTTTTGTTGTTTCTACAAATGATCACAATCCCAATCACTGGGTATTTTGATCACATAGTTCAAAATATCTGGAGATTATTGCTCAGATGTTTTGGATTATGACTATCATTGTTCACTACTACAGACCATCTTCAAACTTCTTGCAAGTTATAGCCATTGGAGCTGAGAGGGGGGAATCAAGTTTTTAGCCTTTGAGTATAAACAGTACCAAGCAAGCAAACGAGTGATCTGACTCAGTATGCCTTCATATTTTTGTGATAAGATAAAGGCAAAAGTTTTCCCCTGACATCAAGTCCAGTCGTGTCCGACTCTGGGGGTTGGTGCTCATCTCCATTTCTAAGCCAAAGAGCCAGCGTTGTTCGTAGACACCTCCAAGATCATGTGGCCAGCATGACTGCATGGAGCGCCATTACCTTCCCGCCAAAGCGGTACCTATTGATCTACTCACATTTGCATGTTTTGGAACTGCTAGGTTGGCAGAAGCTGGGGCTAACAGCAGGAGCTCACGCCACTCCCCGGATTCGAACTTGCGACCTTTCAGTCAACAAGTTCAGAAACTCAGCGGTTTAACCCACTGCGCTACCGGGGACTCCACACATATTTGTGAGATAAATAGATAGATAGATAGATAGATAGATAGATAGATAGATAGATAGATGAATGGATGAGATATATGTGTCAGATTGATAGGAAAAATATATGGGGCAGCGAGAATGTTTTAAGAATTCACTAAAGCTCATATTCAAGTACTTTCAAACACTTACTTCAGCAAAATATAGAAGAAGAAGAAATGTTCTCACTGTGTTGTGATTCACTTCCAAGGTGCAAGGACTCATTGACATTGCCAAGAAGGAACCTCATAATGTGAAGCAGAAGGTAACTGTGCATGTTATCAGTGCTGTTCTTGTCCAGTCTTGCTGTGGGAGTTATCGAGGGGAAGAGTGCCGTTCATCACTGGCTTTGATGGTCTTTCATCTCTTGAGGAGGAGAATGCAAAACTTTAAGGACAAGGTGAGGATCCTTATTCATTAAATACAGAGAAAGAGAAGGGACACTTCATTCTGTGTTGCCTTTTTAATCAAAATTTTAAAAATTACTGACTGACCTATGATCAGATTTGTCTATACAGCTGTGGCTTAGGTCAGAAACATGCTGCAGAGTGTTGTACTTCACATGCAAATATATTGGTATGTTTGAACGAAATTTCTAGAAGAGCCAACCAAAATGCAGAAATTCTTTAATACATTCTTCAAGACTTCACTGGCTTCTTCACTGAGGAAAAGGTGTTAAAACTCTTAAGAGAAGAAAAATGATAGTGTTAAAGTCACAGATTTACATTTTGTATCAGATATTGTTACGGTTGAAGTTTAGTTCAGGAAAGATCTCAAGGCAAGCAGAAGCAGCTTTCCTTGGTCATGTGGGGATTAAGGACAACGGGCAGTAAAAGACACCCAATTTTAATATAACAATGAAATCCACAAAAAAATAGTTTGAAATGTTATCACCTCTATGATTTTGTAACATCTACCTGATAAAAATTCAAAAGTTTGCAGAATTGCATTCTGCATTTTGGTTGGCCAATAAAAGTATTGCTGTTCTGTGTATTTTGCATTTTGATTTACTTGGTTGTATGGCCATCATGGCTATTACTGGGTATGTCTGAAGCATTTTTATCCAAAGTTCACAGAATGGTTTATAGTTATCAGTAGTAAGTCACAATCATGTGGGTGGTGTTGGGATTAAACCTCACACTGCCCAAGTCTCAAGTGCTCAACGAGGAGCAGTTAGTTAGTTTAGTAACTAAGCTGTAGTGATTGATGTTTTCCCCCTTTCTTTGAAACCTTAGAAGAGATGAGTGTTAAAGTAGCTCAGACCCACTTATTTACTATTAAGAAATGCAGTTATTTCTTATTATTATAAATAAACCTTTTGTGATTTTTAAGATTGGACTCTGCATCTTTGCCTGCCTACGCTCTTAATTCTTTACAGCCACATCACAGGCCACTTCATGCTTTGCATGCTGTGAGCTAAATGCTCATCTTTTATTAACCTGTTTATTTTTGGATGCTCTGCTATTTTTTGGGTAGTTTTCCCTATCAGGGGGTGGGGTGGGGGTTGAAGGCCTCTTGAATGAGGCCAGTTGAGAAGCTCATGGGCCTGAGACAGGGGCGAGGTGGGGTTGGGGAGAGACTCCAGGGGCCTGGAAGGCAAGACCCGCAACTAAATGGCAGGAACAACTAGGCCACCAATGGGTGTTCCTCTTCCTTTTCCAGGGGCCGCAGAGCCCTGAGGCTGCTGTCACCACCAAAAACACGCTCCCCCCCCCCCCAAATTCCCTTCCCGGCATAAAAGATTCTGGGTTCTTTTGGGCCTTTTCATGCAGGTGGTTTATGTGTGTGAGTCTAATACACCATCAGATCTAATGCACACCTCAATTTTGATGATATAATTCAGCCCCAAACAGTAAGCATTAGATTTGAGTAAATACAGTAATTACATTTGTGTAATATACATTGCTTTTTAAAAATTAAATAGAGGGAGAGGGAAAAAAATGCTACCATTAATAAACAATTGTATTCTTTTTTTAGGACTCTCAGTGCAAATACTCCACATCCGGCAATGAACTTTTCTTAGAAGTATTAGCAGGTTGTGTACAAAAGCTAAATGAGGAAGAGTCTGCTGATTTAGAAGATTCTGTCTTGCTCATTGTGTTGTTGAGAAACTTTATTCAAGGCATGGTGCCTCCAGACTCCTTTTTGAAAGGTAAGTTTATAGTTGCAAGAAAACAAATGTAGACCTTGTTGTTTTTCTTGTTGCAGTTATATTCTAAGTACTGTAAGTTATGGAAGTGGACGCTACCCTTAGATTTACAGAAAGTCTGTTTTGTTAAAGGTACTTTTAATTCAGCTGATTGCTGATTCTGTGCATTCATGCCTACAGATGAGACATGGTGGAATCCTGAAACATTAAATAAAAAGAACAAAGATTATCTGAACCTCCTCTTGGGACTTTTTGACACCCTACTCAGTGGAGCCAGTGAGGGAAACAATACTGATCATTTCCGTACAATGATGCAACTTCTGCTTGAGGTATTCTTTTTATCTGTAATCTTAAGTGAGACAATCACTGATTATTCTGATTCAGTTTTAAATATATATATCAAACTATGTACATGGCTTTAAAATGTTTTTTTTTTATTTTATATACTTACATTTGCCTATATACCTGGTGTTGTTTGGGTATGCATTTTTAAAATTGTAATGTTAATCCTGCCAATATTTTAAGTTGGATAGTAAATGTTATGTGAGCCAAGTTTAGTCCAGATCAATTTTAGGAACCTTCAAGGTTCAAACAAAACATGCTTTGAATGTTATATATATAGACTGTAGCAGGCAATATGCAATCCACAATGTGCTTATCATTGTTCCCACCCTGGACCTCCAAACTTGCTGTTAGATTTGACTGCCACCACTTTAAAAAAAACTTTTCCTATTGAAAAAATACCTCACATCTCCTAAGGAGAATGCAGGAGAACTTCATCATGTTTTTGGCTGTCATCCTCTTTTAGAGCAGGAGATGTTTTAGAAAAACAAAAATGGCTCCACACTATTATAATTGTTGTTATTGCTGTTATTATTAATCCATTTTTTTCTTCCAGAAAGGAGACTCAGTGTGGCTTTTAAAGTGTGGATGTGGGTGTTTAAAGGGCATTCACAGAGAGCATTATCAGAGAGCAGGGAACTTCAGTGTTTAGAGAAGGTTTTTTTTTTCCGTGTCAGGAGCAACTTGAGAAACTGCAAGTCGCTTCTGGTATGAGAGAATTGGCTGCCTGCAAGGATGTTGCTTAGGGGACACCCTGATGTTTTTTTGGGGGTTTTTTAATGTTTTACCATCCTTGTGGGAGTCTTCTCCCACGTCCCTGCATGGGGAGCTGGAACTGAGAGAAGGAGCTCATCTGCTTTCTCCCCGGATTAAAACCTTCGGCCTGTCAGTCTTCAGTCCTGCCGCACAAGCACCTCCGGTGGCTCCTTTAGAGAAGGTGTATCTGGCCCTTGAACCTCTGAAGAAATTGGTCATCCCTGGTCTGTGTGTTACAATTTTTCACACTCTCTTCCAAAGTTGTCAAAACTGTGTACTTGATCCTTCTCCCCATCTTGTCCTCACAAGAGCTGTATGAGGTAGTTAGGCTGAGAGATAGGGCCTGTCCTACCTGTTCACATACCCACTGAGTTCATGGGCAGGTGGAGATTTGGAGTTTGGTATCCACAGCCTTAATCTATTTTAGCCATTATGTTGATTTGCTGCATGCTTTCAGGTTATTTTCAATGTGTAGTGAGCCTAAGGTAAATAAATTAGGGGGTGTTCTTGACATATCCAGTACATATTTTTGATCCACCAATTTTCCCTCCCCTTATATGCAGATATATACAATAGCATTTTGTATTTTTGAAGGTAGAGGCAAGGAAAAAGTAAGACATCCATACACATAACATATTGATGAATGTGTTCCCCCACTTTTCTTTTCTTTTGTAGTCACATTTGAAAAAGCCAGAGGATCAGTTCAGATTTCTCTCAGTCTTGTGGACCTACAGTTACAACATTTCCAATCAGCTGAGCTTTGTAGTGGATGCCGTGCTACAGACTCGTGCTCTGTATATAGGCTGCGCAATGCTGGCAACCCAGCCCACGCAGACAAAAAGGAAACTGGCATCAACAGCATTTCCAGGTACAGTGCAGTCACCATTGTCATATTTTTCAAGTTTGATTCTAATAGGAATTCTGGGGAATAGTCAGGGGGGAAAATGTTATTTTATACCTTTCTAATTTGCCTATTAGCGTATTTGCCACCAGAAAACTACAGATATGTGCATGAAATGTTGCTTTGAGTCCCTTCAAGGAGAAAGGGTGGGTTATAAAGTTGTTATTATTATTATTATTATTATTATTATTATTATGCTTTTTAATAGCACTGTTAAATATTGCTAGCTTTCTCTTTTTGAAATTAGATCTTATGTGAAATAGGCATGGGCATTTTTAGGACAGGAAGCAGTCCTGTGATTTCTATATAAAAAAAGAGAATTCTGGGGAAGCAGAAAAAATAGTGTTTTTTCCCAAGCCTAAAGCCCTTTTTTGTTACTATATTATTCCATTTTGATGACTGCTGTGAAAACAAGCCTGTATGTGACATTTGCTATAGTTGCAATGAGTAATGTAGCTCCATGATGTCACCAGTTGGGGTACTTTCTCTGTTGTAATGGTTGCTATATTCTTCTGCCCTGTGCTTTTGTAACTACCAATTCTCTCCTTGCCCACCACCCAACCTCCTAGTTTTCCATCAGCTGGTTAAGCAGTGACAGAACATAACAGACCCATTGACTTTTTTTAAAGGAAACCTATATCATTTACTTTACTTTACTTTAATAACTGGTGCAGCTTCTTGTTAGATGGGTGATTTAGACATGTATAACACAGACAAATAATGTTCATGTGGATTGTGACTATAGGAAGGAAAGGAAAAACAGAAAGCAGGGAGCCCATTGTGAGCTAAACAGATGTTGTTTTTTGTTTTTTCTGAAAATGTGTAAATTTCAAATTCTGAGTAAATCCAACACTCCCAAAATCTATCTCACTCAGCTATAATACATAGCTGTAACCCTTCAGATCTTCTTAAACTGCAGCCTTCATCATCCCTCCCCTTTGATCTGTTGGCTAGTTTTAGTGGGAGTTGCAGTCTAGTCGAAGAGCCATAAGTTGCCTCCTCCTCCTCTAAAGTATTTATATTCCTCCCTTTCTCAGCAGTCTCACAATTATATCAAGAATGGACATGGATTTTCAGAAATTCAGCATTTAGCTATTTTAGAACTAATCTGCTGGAATTTTAATTGCTGTTTGTTTGTTTGCTTTTGTTTTTGTTTTGCGGGGGTGGGGGGTGGGGGGGTGGGGTTGTATTGTCGAAGGCTTTCCTAGCCGGAATCACTGGGTTGTTGTAAGTTTTTTCAGGCTGTATGGCCATGTTCCAGAAGCTTTCTCTCCTGATGTTCCATCTGCATCAATGGCAGATATGTTGGAAACTAGGAAAATTGGGTTTATCTATCTACCTCCAACAGAAAAGAGTCCTTTCTCCCACCCTGGACGTTCTACAGATATATAAACCCCATTTTCCTAGTTTCCAACAGACCTCATAACCTCTGAGGATGCCTGCCATAAATATGGACAAATATGGCCATGTTTCAGAATGCTTCTGAAACATGGCCATACAGCCTGGAAAATTTATAATAACCCAGATTTTTTTGTCAATTTTTGAAAGATATCTGTGCAATATATAACAATTGTTAATAATTGCTTTAAAAATTATAACTGTTTCTTATTACTTGCCACTTTCCAGTGATCGTATCTTTGTTGATTAACCTGGGAAGTCCTGTGAGTGAAGTGCGAAGAGCTGCTCTTTGCTGCCTTAATTCTTTGAGTGGAATAAAAGAGTGTCCATTTCATCCTATTCTTCTTGATTTAGTAAAGAAAGCTGAAGAGATAACATCCGACCAAACATATATAATCCAGGTAACTTGGAGGAGGAGATATTGTTGTATGCTTTGAATCTGGGATTCCCTATACTTGTTGCCCCGCCCCCACCCCAGTAGTTCTTTCTTTCTTCTAGGAAAGTTGTCTGAAGCAAGTTTGAACCATTGTTAGAGGGTAATATAATATATTAAGTCATTATTCCAACTTTCTCTAGCTGGACAAATTTGACCGGTTACAGGACTCTAGGGTGGAACAGGAAACCATTTTAGGAACAGTCTGAGACAGTTGGCAAGCTATTAATCACTCTCTACTGCTTCAGGTGAAGGCTTTGTCCTATCAGGGCAAACTGAGAAAAAAGTTTCCCACTGACTTTTGCTGTATTTTTCCACTCCATGGGTCAAATGTCCAAGGAAATGCTGGAATCATCTTCCTGTCTCTGGGACAGCTGCACTATTTCTGAGATACCGCAGTATTAAAAAAATGTTTTTCCCACCCAATGGATTCCTTTCCACAAATGGGAAACAAATGTGTTGAAAAAGACTCTGGCAACAACATTAAACTAAGACTGGTGTTCTTGAACTCTAGGTGTATGTAGGTACAGAAAGCTCTAGCACAATTACACATGCACAGTATAAAATACAGAAACATTTCTCACCCCAGACCCGTATCTCTTTAGCAATGGAAGAGAATCATCAATTCACTGAAAACCCTCTTGCTTCAACCTCCATTGCTTAGCAATTCCATTTTTATTTATTTTTATATCCTGGTTGCAGTAAAGTTTTAGAAATTTAGTTCTCCAGTCAATTAATACAATATAATTAAAGAAATGGTCAGTTGTTCCTTGATGCTTTCTTCTTTCTGTTTTATCAATTAGAGTCTTGGTAACTTGTTTGAGGAGCTACATACTCAACCAAAAGGAAAACCACAACCGCAGAAGTTGTCAGAAGCACTCGGAGCGCTGCTTGAATGTGCAAAAAGCAGCACATGTCCATCGTATGTTGCACGAAACCTGATGAAAATTCTCCAGGAAGTCAATGGAAAGGTATGTGAAATAGATCCCAAGTTCTGAAAATGAGAATTCATCCAAGAATTTTCTTTTCATCATGAAAGTTACAGTTTTCAGCTAAATGCAAATAGAGCTGGCATTGTCTGTAGACACCTCCAAGGTCATGTGGCCAGCATGACTGCCTATAGCCCTGTTACCTTCCTGCCAAATTATTTTCAATGATAACGATAGTAGAAAGATGTTTGGGTCTCTACTTATTTAATTGCTATATATTCTGAAAATTTATGATATATTTGCTCTCTGAATGCAGTAAGGCAGACAAGGATTAAACATTTCTTGAATAAAATGTTGGGAAGATCATTTCTCTCTTCAAATAGTGCCACTCTTACATGCCACATTACGTTTGAAATATAAGTTACCTTTCTGAAAGTTTGTTAAACAACTATTGATCTTGAAAACCTCTACTTTCAGGTCGTGCTGTCTCATCTATTGCCTGTCATAGATAGATTACTGGACAGAGTTCATACTAAACCAGATGGGATATTGAAAGATGAAGCTCTTCTTTTGCATACTGTTCTTGGGAAGTACAATGAACATTCAGCAGAACTCCTTTGCACAAACCAACAAAGCCTAGGTTTGTTCATCAAAGCTTTACACACCTCACGGGAAGTCTACAAAGGACTCAGTACTTTTCAGATGAGAGCTCTTGGACAGGTAAGATTGGGAGAGAGTTGGAAGGGGGTGAAATAAAGGGATCAATGCTCTAATACTTCACAATGGATGTTAATGTGCAGCACCATTAAAATGGAAAGATTCACCTTCATTTGTGCATGTCTTCCAAATATCTTTCAGAAAACAGTTTCACTAATCATGTTTTTATACTGCTACTAATACTAGACACGTCTAGAGATAGCAGCAGGACTTCTTGGTGACGTTTTTATTGAAAACATCTAGAATGAACAGTGCCCTTGTTGAACAGAGTTTGGAGAAACATTTTATGTGCAGAGAGTCCATTTATGGAGAGCAAATAACACTGAACAGAGTGTTAGTTAGATATCATGCGTATGTTGGGTTGCACTTCCTGAAAACATGGCTCCAGAACTGGAGAATAGTCATGGTTTCAGTCCTGAGCCTGGAAACTGAGTATTCAGTAGTGATCAGAAGTTAGAATCATAAAGTTGGATGAGACCACACAGGCATCCAATCCAACTCCCTGTCATGCAGGAAAACACAGTCAATGCATCCCTGTCAGATAGCCATCCAGCCTCTGTTTTGAGACAGCCTATCCCACTGCCAAGCAGCCTTTACAAATACTTTCTAATGTTAAGGTGGGATCTTTAAAAAATTGGCATAGTTAAGGTGTGTGAGCCAGTTTTCTACGAATGTGTCACCAGCTTTGGGTTCTATAATGTATTCTACATGGATCTGCCCTTGAAGGATGTTTGAAAATGTTCAAAGAGGTGCAACCAGATGGTTAACCAAAGCTGGTTAGTGGTAACATACAGCTCCCTTGTTGCAACAGCTCCATTAACTGCCAGTCTGTTTCTGGGTACAATTCAAAGTGCTGGTTACAAACTTTAAAGCTATGTATGGCTTGGCTCCAGATTATATTTGAAGAACTGTATTCCCTCATCTAAACCTGACCTTGGGTTGAGGTCTTCTGGAGAGACTGTTGTCTTTGCTAACTGCTCATAGATACATCAAGCAGTTCTCCTTCTTGGGGACTGATCCAAAACTCTGTTCCAATCCTAGATTAGAGTGGGACTCCCTTGTTATTTTTTTACGGACATATGAATCCTTTTTCCCTTTTGTTTCAGTAGTTCTTTAAAGGCTGGTTGGTCAGGCATAAAGAAACTTTCAGAATATGTATATTTGTTTCTAAGTATACATGTTTACAAGTCTTAATTGTTTTGACAGTTTAATTATGTATTTAACTGTTGTATGGTGTAATTTTTAGCTGTAGCTATTTTGATAACAATACAGTGTTGTTTACAAGTGATGCCCTTTTTATTATTTCTAGATTACAAAACCATTCTTTGCTGCACTGTCAGATGGGAAGGTTCAGCAAAAGATTTTGGGAGTTCTGTTTGATTTGCTCCTGAATTGCAAAAATCCAGATTGTGCACAGATGATCAGCAGTGTTTTCAAAACGGTAAAATGGCCTTAATCTCTATGGGTTATAAGAATATAATTCTTTCTCTAAATGGATCAGGACTATGGTGGCATGATTACCTTTGCTGTTGTAATTGCTGTCAAGCAAGCTATCCCCTAGAAATTAACTAAATCATATCTTTGAAGTAAGGAAGAATAAAAGTGTGGAACAGTTATTACAAAAATATTCTAGGCATTTGGCAGTATATCAAGGAGCTTATTAATAAAAAATAACATAAAATTAGATTCTGATACTTACTTGTATATAATAGTGAGTGAAAAATGGGTTTTAAAAAATCCCATCCATCCTTTGAGGTAGCCTATCAGAAACACTCCCAATATGTTCCTTCATAGTTTCAGACAACTGCTAAAGTAGACTAGTTTGGAGAGCGGAGTGGTGAGGCAAGACTGCAGAGAATTGAGAAGAGACAATTCCTGCTTTGCTCACACAAATTTCTAATTTTCAACAGTCTTTTCCCCTCAATCCCCAGAACAATTGCTCACTCAAGGGAGTGGGAAGTATACACAAAGGAATATTCTGTGAGCTCATGGGGCTGGCAGGGGAATAAGATGGTAGAAAAAAAACAACTTCTATCCATTCTATCCCACCATCCCAGTTTCTCCTTTCCAATAAAAGAATGTAATTGTGTTTTTATTGTATCTTTATGTGTACTAGTGGTTCATAAATTGTCTTCTAACCATCTTTTTAAATGGCATGGTTTTCATAGCATATTGATTCACTCTTCAACCAGAAAAGGCTCCCACAGTGACTTAAAGAGATCTGAAATAATGTCATGGCTTATAATCAGTTAAAAAAAGTATTTCAACAAGAAAAGAGATCCATAAGGAAGGGAGGGGAAAATTTTAGCAGCAGTTCAAAATGTAATTGATTTGCAAGAAGGACTCTTGTAGCATCCGCAGAATATGGCAGTCGAGTGGCTCTCAGCAAAAGCTAGATCCAGGGGTAGTTTTTGATTTCTGCTATTTCACCTTTTCCTTAACATGTATACAAATATGAAGTTGTCATATCACTTGATGAAGGGATGGCCAGATCATGTTTTCCCACTGAGCCATTCAGGCCTGTGAAGTATGCACCTACATACCCCATATACATTGAGGAGCATGGAATCTACTCTTGTGGACTTGCAGTTTCCAGAATACCCTGATCAATGAACATTATGGCCAGTGGATTCAATGAGCTGTAGTACAAAAAAGTAGGTTTTCCAGATTCTAGTATATTTTTGAGGTGTGGCCTGTGGTTGCCTTGTGCAGCATTCCTGCATCTTGCCCATGCCTAGCATTTTTTAAAAAACTTCAATTACATTTGGCCCAGCCATAGTTTTAAATGTGCACTGTATCTTGTTTAATGTTTATGCTATTTGTGTATGTTATTTATTTTAATTGCTTTGTATTATACCTGTTATTGCTTGTATTGCGGGCTCGGCCTCATGTAAGCCGCACTGAGTCCCTTGGGGAGATGGTAGCGGGGTATAAATAAAGTTTTTTTATTATTATTTTAATATTCTTACAGACCAAATTTTCCATTCTTGTATACAATTTAGATTTCAGTTGATGCCAAGCAAGTTAGTGTGGAATTGGAACCTCTGCAGAAGTCCAAGAATATTGCTACTCTTCACCAAAAAAGAAAGCAGAAAATGCAGCAACAGAGGTAAAATGTTATATGTACAACATGTGCAATTGCAATGTAATGTGATGGGAATTGATCCAAGAGTAGTAAAAATGATGCATCTTTTGCAGACTGATCATACAGGATTAGTATCTTTTATCCTGAAATTATCTGGAATGGTCCACGTGAGTTTGCAAGTTAAAAGTTGGTAGATTTGATTTTTCATGGATTTTGCCATCACCTCTGCTCCTGCCCTATACGAGACCAAATAAATCCAAGATATCTTGACCAAAAGAGGAAAACAATTGATCAGCTACCTCAAGCATTTTATTGGTGATTTAGAGTTTAATGATAGTTTGTCCTCTTATCAGGTGAATATTATGGAATAGTCAACGTAGTGCATCATAAAAAGTAGCAGATTACCATTATAACTCCTTTGAAAATATAACAGACCTGAGCAGGATGCAGTAAATGCCAATCACACAAGCTATAACAAGGCAAAGTGATGAACCTGGATACTGCTAGAAAAACTCTCAATGGAAGAAGCATGAATACATAAAGGAAAACTTCCAGGCTCAAGAAGATCCCAAAAATCATCAACTTTTCGCATGCATATGTACACTCTTTCTCTCCATTCTGTATACTTTGCTTCATTGTTTTCAAGGAAGTAACCCCTATTTAGTTCTGCATTGATGAATCTGAACAGTGAAAGATCTGAGGCGGGCCCATGGCATTTCTGCTGGGACTGTTGCTGGTCACTCTTGCAGAAGCCTAGCATCTCGCTCTGGTGGGGCTGCCCAGGGTCCGGTGGCGAGGCTGGGCTGGGGGCAGATGAAGAAGGGGCTGGGCACAGGGGCGAGGGCTATGGGGACTGAGACTCCCTGTCGGCAAAACTGCTCCTCCATGGGCCGGGTTCCACCAAGAGCAGCAAGGCCTCTGGGCTATGTCCCTGCTCCCCAGGATGTTGTCATTGGCAACACCTGCGATCTTCACATGAGCAAAAGTACATTACCATGCATGTGCAAAACCACATATATATACATATACACAAATATATACACACATATACACAAGCACAAAACATGAACTACACAGACTGGGCCACAGCAACACGTGGCAGGGGGTGGCTAGTTAACTATAGAATCACACTAGAGAACTTAGAAATACCTAGAAAGAAAGCTTCTCCATGCATTTCTAAGTCCTGAAGCCTAGAAATGTTCACCTTGTGAACATTCAGGTAAAAAACAGGAATTGCAATTTTATGTACATTCAGAATTTTTCCTCTTTCGCAAGTAGTCTTCATTTCTGCTCCTGGAAATATGGTCAATTGTATTTGCACATATTCAAGAATTTGAAAATATCTGTAATCCAAAACACTTGGGGTCCCAAGTATTTTGAATAAGGGATACTCAACATGTGTCCATGATGTTTGACTATTTGTTTGACTGCTGACATCATGTGCCACTGATATGGCTAACCAATGTTGACACTGCCTCCCATATGTAAAAATTCTACCTCCTCTTAATGAAATTATCTTTTAGCCTCTACATTTTTAGTATCGTAGTAACTTTAAATTTATTTTGGGTATTTGGGTGTACAATTAAGACAACCAAAGCAAAGGAGCAGGCAGTGTAACAGGGAATGCAAACATACCAGATGTGAACAGTTCTCAGTCTCACTCTTCAGTGCTAGAAACCCAATGTGCTTTTATAGAATAAACATTGAAAATCGTTGGAACAAATGTGTAAATACCAATAAACTCCTTACTCTTTGATTTTCATCCTTCAGAAAAACTCAGGATCAGGAATGCGCAGAGGACGAGAGCAGTGTGAACTGGCAACGAGTCACACTTATATTGGAATTGCTGCAACACAAGAAGAAGCTTAAGAAGCCTCAGGCATTGATACCTACCCTCTTCAGCCTGCTTGCTAGGTAATAACCTTGGGTTTAGAGAAAGTGAAAATATGTTTATTGCTGACTATAATAGGACTCAGTCCAGATTTTAGTATGTACTGTTCTTAATTCTTGTATTCCTTCATGAGGGAATACAGGGAAATTAACACTGGACAGGAGATTGTGCTGTGTGAGATTTTTTTCTTCCAGAAAATGTTTTCTTTCTGAGTTTTCATGTATAGCTTTGGCCTTAATTTGTTCAACAATATAATGTAAAATTATGACATATATATTATAATATTTGATTTCTCCAGAATTGTTGTTTAACTGTCTTCTGGTTTTCCAGGTGTCTAGAGCCTTCTGCAGTACAGGAAAATCTGGAATATATAAAACAGCTTATACTTGGTGGGCTACTAAACATTTGTCAGAAACTCTCTCCAGATGGCAACAGGCTAAAGGAAGGTGAGAATGAAAAAAAAAAAAACCAACTGCTTGACTTCCAGTGTTTCAAAATGTATCCTGTATACATGTGTTTTGTAAAAAAAACTTGGCTGTGGGACCAAGCTTTCAGGACAGGGCAATAAAGCGGCAATAGGAAAGATAACCAGGCCAAAATATTAGATTTGATGCGGATGACTGGGACAGTTTTGAATGGTGTATTCTAATATTTTGATAAATGTTTTTTTAGTGTTTATGTATTGTATGTGGATTTGTGTCCCAGCATTGAATGTTTACCGTGTATATGCTGTGCTCCGCCCTGAGTCCCCTTCGAGGTGAGAAGGGCAGAATATAAATGTTTTAAATAAATAAAATATGGGTTAATGGGAAAACATTAATGTAGAAATAAACAATGGATTCAGTTGTAACAATTCTAATGTTAAATAAAGCTCTATTTTGCATTTGAGGTATCCTTGATGAAGAGAAGTTCAATGTGGAGTTGATAGTCCAGTGCATCCGAGTTTCAGAAATGCCTCAGACACACCACCATGCTTTGCTCTTGCTAGGCACTGCTGCTGGGATGTTTCCTGTGAGTAACAAAGCCTCATTCTTATATATGCTACCCAGAAGGAAGGCTAAGTGTTTAAACACAAATGAGTTTCAAGAAGTGATTCACTTCATCGTTGCTTTGGTTTTGGGTCCCTTTTGGAGCATTGATTTGAAACTTTAGTAACATTAGTTTTCAAATATAGGTTGAATAGACTTGTTTGGAATTCCAGAATCCGAAAGATTCCCAAAATCATCCATGTGTTTGGCTGAGATACTTTCTGATAGTTAAATACACACAGATTTTGTTTCCTGTACATTTTTAAATATATATATTGTGTATAAAATTACTTTCAGGCTGTGTGCATTAGGTGTATACAAAGCATAATTGAATTTCATATTTAGACTTGGCTCCCATCCCAAGATATCTCATTTTGTATCTACTGAAACCCAAAATACAGAACACTTCTGATCTGAAACATTTCAGATAAGGGATATGCAGTCTATACCCGTATTTAAATCTGTTGATCTAGCCTTGCTGAGCCATTCCTGTACTTGAAACTGCTTTCAGAAAGCTTTATCTCTGTCTCAAAAACCTTTTTCATCAATAAAGCCTTCCTGGAAGCATTATGGTCTCAACGCACATCATTCTTTCCAACATCTATCTTTGATATTTGTGCCGGTCCCTGAGTTGTCTCTCAACCATTATCTGAGCAAGGAATGTGTGTCTTGAAATACCACTTGCCTTCTAAATCGTTCAGTGTTCAATAGCTTGTTTCTTCATGCTGAAGAGTATTCTTTATCCTTCAAATATTAGATAGATATTATCCTAAATTCATGCCTTTGGTATGGTAGATGGGATGAGCTATCTATAAGCCAGGAAAACCACCTCCAGTTGTGGCTGTAACCCCATGGTTTTAAATCATTTTAAGCTATTATAATCAATTTTAATTTTTCTTCTTAACTTTTTGTTTAACCTGTTTAGCTTTTTAAAATCATGTTTACACTATATTAGATAGCTCTAATATAGTGTGGGAGATATATAAATACGCTGTGTACAGTTTGTATGTTACAGAAAAGGATGATGAACTCTGATTATTTAAATAAGATGATTAAAAGCCACTGATTTAATTATAATGGGAAGGAAAAAACTGAATTAAGTCTGGAAACAAATTTTTCATTGATTTCTCTTTTCCAGGGTAAAGTGCTGCACAACATCATGCCCATCTTCACATTCATGGGGGCAAATGTTATGCGCCTGGATGATGCTTACAGTTTCCAAGTTATTAACAAGACAGTCAAGATGGTCATTCCTGCTCTTATACAGGTAAGGCATTTTAAATTGGAAACAGGTTTGGCCTGTATCCAGAATAAAATTGGTCTCCCCTATTCTTCCCAGTCACTGGATAGCATTCAATTAATTATGAATAAAGTTTTCAGTGCAGTAGTAAATTTCCACTATTAATAGATTGTCCGAAAATATATGGTCCTGAATTTCTCTTGGTGGTCAGGATAAGATTATGTGTCATAAGAAACTGCATGGTAAAAGAGTAGAATAACTGCAGCAGGACAGACTCATAATCCTTGATCTGAGTAGTAAGAATAATGTAGCTCGACATTAAATTCTGTCGAAGGAATTTGCGCAGTACTCTGTCATAAATTGCTTGTTGGCTGGATAGTACAAAGGAGCAGTCCACAGTCACATGCTTTAACTCCTCTTGTGCCAGTTTCAGAGGCAGGAGTCATGAGATTATCAGTCATTTACCTCTTGACTTCTCTCTCCCTTCCTCATTTTTAGCAGATTGCATAAGGAAGAGCTGGGAAAATATCTTTAGTTAGAAAATAGACTTTGCCTTTCAAGCTCTCTCTTGAAGGTTCTGTAGAGCAGGGCTTCTTAAACTTTTTCCACTTGGGACCCCCCTTTTTGTGACTCCAGGTATATAGGTGTAAAAAAGGTAAAGGTAGTCCCCTGACATTAAGTCCAGTCATGTCTGACTCTGGGGTGTGGTGCTCATCTCCATTTCTAAGCCGAAGAGCCAGCGTTGTCCGTAGACACCTCTAAGATCATGTGGCCGGCATGACTGCATGGAGCGCCGTTACCTTCCTGCCGGAGCGGTACCTATTGATCTACTCACATTTGCATGTTTTCGAACTGCTAGGTTGGCAGAAGCTAGAGCTGACGTGGAATCAAACCTGCGACCTTTTGATCAACAAGCTCAGCAGCTCAGTGCTTTAACCCACTGCGCCACCGGGGGCTCCCCGGCGTACAAAATATAGAATAGGAACCTGGCTGTTCCGATGTGCCTTCTCAGATTAGGAATCTCCAATAACAAGTCCCAGAAGCACTTTATTAGAACTAAAATTGCTGCTCACCACACACTGCACTCACCATATAATCCTTACATATCATCTGTCACATCAGCACTTTTAATCCTGTACCCATTACTCTGGCCCGGCCCAGTTTTATAGTGTCTTGATGTATTGTTTATTGCTTGTTGTTTAATATTGCTTTAATTTTTTAATTTGCTTTAGGTGTTGTATTGTTATGTTGTGTTTTGAGGCCTTGGCCTTTGTAAGCCGCATCGAGTCCTTCGGGAGATGCTAGCGGGGTACAAATAAAGTTAATAATAATAATAATATAAAAATCAGACATTTATTATTAATAAATTAGCATTTGCAAGGCTTGCTAAACAAGCTGATTTTCCTTTTTATGAAGTACAGCTGAAGCAATTTCTGCAGACTCATAGTTTAAGAAGCAGTGCTGGACACAAATGCACTCCTGAAACTTGACAAGCTCAGCTGTTCTTTCACTTCGTTCACTGACTTCTAGAACTCCACGTCTGTTTGAATACACAATTCTATTGATCCCTTTTTTAATAGTTAGTCTCAAGATCTCGTTACACTGTTAGATATTTAAATAGTCAAGCTTTGATTGTAGGGTTTTTTTTTTCTCTTCTGGGTTGTTGTGAGTATTCCAGGCTGTATGACCATGTTCCAGAAACATTCTCTCCTGACGTTTTGCCTGCATTTATGGCCGGCATCCTCAAAGGTTGTGAGGTCTGTTGGAAACTAGGAAAGTGAGGTTTATATATCTCTGGAATGTCCAGAGTAGGAGAAAGAACTCTTATCTGCTTGAGGCAGATGTGAATGCTGCAATTTGCCGTCTTGATTAGCATTGAATGGCCTTGCAGTTTCAAAGTCTGGCTGCTTCCTGCCTGAGGAATCGTTTGTTGGGAGGTGATTGGCTGCCCTGATTGTTTCCTGTCTGGAATTCACCTGCTTTTGAGTGTTGTTCTTTATTTAATGTTTTCGTAGCCAGATTTTGTCCATTTTCATGGTTTCCTCCTTTCTGTTGAAATTGTCCACATGCAATGGCTTCTCTGTGTAGTCCGACATGGTAATTGTTAGAGTGGGCCAGCATTTCTGTGTTCCCAAATAATATGCTGTGTTCAGGTTGGTTCATCAGGTGCTCTGTTATGGCTGACTTCTTTGGTTGAGTTGGATTAGTGCCTTTTATGTTCCTTGATTCATGTTTGGGCAATGCTGCGTTTGGTGGTCCCTATGTAGACTTGTCCACAGCAGCATGGTATAGACTCTTGCCGAAGTGAGATGATCCCTCTTATCCTTTGCTGAACGAAGAATTTGTTGGATTTTCTTAGTGGGTCTGTAGATAGTTTGAATGTAGGTTGTGTTTCTTCATCAGCTTCCCTATGCGTTTAGTGGTTCCCTTGATGTATGGTATAAACACTTTTTCTCTGGGTAGATCATTGTCTCTTTTCTTGTCGCTTGTTCTCAGTCTTGCAGCTCTTCTGATGTGTGTGGTGGAGTATCCATTGGCCCGTAGATCCCAGTTTAAGTGGTTCAGTTCACCCTGGAGGAGGAGATTGGGTTCGCAGATTCTTTTTGCATGGTCTGCCAGGGCTTTAATTGTGCTTCTTTTTTGACTTGGGTGATGGTTGGAGTTTTTATGCAGGTATCTATCCGTGTGTGTAGGTTTTCTGTAAACAATGTGGCCTAATTGTTGATTTGGTTTGTGGATGACTAGGACATCTAGAAATGGCAGTTTTCCTTCATTTTCTTTTTCCATTGTGAATTGGATGTTTGGGTGGATGCTGTTGAGGTGATCCAGGAATTTGGTTCGTTCTTCCTCTCCATTGCTCCAAATGGTGAAGGTGTCATCCACATATCTGAACCATATAGTGGGCTTTTTTGGTGCTGTTTCTAGGGCTTGTTTTTCAAAGTGTTCTATATAGATAATTGCTATGACTGGGCTGAGAGATGGCTACTCCATCTTTCTGTTCATAGAATTCATTGTCCCACTGGAAGTGGCTAGTGGTGAGGTAATGATAAAACAGGGTTGTGATGTCTTCTTTTTCTCTTCTGTTTGAGAAAGGGTTTTGTTTTTAAGTTTTCTTTGTGTTGCCATCTATATACGTAGAATGTCAATTCTGCCTAATATTTGCTTTGCAGGCAGAAGAGAATAGTGGTAATTCTGAAAATGCTGAAAACCTGGAAGGGATAGTGATAAAAATAATCCGAGTGTTTGTGGATGCTTTGCCACACGTCCCTGAGCACCGTCGCCTTCCAATCCTAGAGCAGCTGATAAGCACTTTGGGAGGGGAGCGGTTCCTTTGGATTCTTCTAGTGCTCCTGTTTGAGCAGCATGTTACAAAATCAGTGACAGCAGTCTCCAATGGTGAGAAGGTAAGAGTGATTTTCTGTGGAGTGTTTTTTGTTTCAAAGCACATTGTAACCCACCAATTTCTCTCAAAATCATGTGTTTCTCCTCCATACTCACCCCTTTAATCTTTTTCCCTGACTTACCACTCTGTAGGATTCTGTTTTGGAGAATGATACAGAATTCTGGATTTCTGTGTGCTGTGAGTTTAGTGCAGTCGAGCAACTGCAGAGTCTGATGGAAATCCTGGGCTATTTAACAAAACTTCCAGAGAACAAAGAAGGTAATTGCTAGAAAAATAACTCTGTGCCTCTGCTTGAGTACAAACCATACTTGCTTTTAAAGCAGATGAAGCATTCCTCTCTGCCTTATTTCCTTTCTGAAATATTTGGCAAATTTATACTGAAAGCCTGCTTGCAGATCCAGCTTACCATTAAAAACTGTCTGCATGTTTCCTTTTTTCTTTTTCTTTTTTTTTACTCAGTATTCTCTAGTAAGAAATAAATGGAAGAAATAATTTTAGTAAAGGGATCATTTTGAGACTGCTATAAATGCATGGTCTAGTAGTGCCTGTTGTAACTCACATTTTTCCTCTCTTGGTGGCTGTATATTTCAAGCTTAATATAGAATAATAATAACAACAACAACAGCAGCACTTTATTTATATTCCATTCTATCTCCCCAAGGGGACTCAGAGTGGATTACAACATACACAGATAGGCAAACATTCAGTGTCTTTAATACAGTGAAATAACAATGACATACAAATACACAGAACAAAGGTAAAGGCTTCCTCTTTCATCTCTGGCTTTCTGGAGGCAGTGCCATGTTCCATTTCCAGGTCAAGGAGCCTGTTTTCTTTAAACACCTCCTGGTTACGTTGCCGGCATGGCTGCATGGGCGCCTTTATTACCTTCCTGCTGAAGTGGTACCTATTGATCTCACATTTGCATGTTTTCAAACTGCTAGGTTGGCAAGAGCTAGGGCTAACAGTGGGGGCTCACTCCAACCTGCGACTTTGAACTGCCAACCTTTAGGTCAGCATATTCAATGGTTTAACCTGTTGCACGACTGCGACTTATTTATTTTTTATTTATTTACAGTTCTTATATTCCGCCCTTCTCACCCCGCAGGGGACTCAGGGCGGATTACAGTAAACACATATATGGCAAACATTCAATGCCAGTTTGACAAACAACATTTAACAGACAAAGGCTATTTAACTTTTTTTTCTGGCCGCCAGGGGAGCTGCTGCTTTTCATCGTCCATCAACGACACCGATGAAGTTCTTCCGCATTCCACATTCCCCGGAGTCTTCTTTCTTTATGGCCTCATAAATTAGTTAAATTTAGCCTCCCACACAAGGTGGTCCCTTATTGTCCTACTTGACAGATGCAACTGTCTTTCGGGTTGCAAAGGTCGACAACGGGCTACACAATGGCTGGACACCCACTCCAGCCCGGGCTGGCTTCGAACTCATGACCTTTTGGTCAGAGTGATCTTAATGCAGCTGACACTCAGCCAGCTGCGCCACAATCCCGGTGACTTAGCTGCAAACCTAACAATACATGGTTTTCCTTCAGGTCACTGGAAGCTTTTATTTTTTTAAGTGAGAGTGAGGTCTGCATTCTAAGCCACTATGAGGCACAATTTTAAAAATGATTTGCGTATGACTTATGTTTACGAGAAAGCCTATATTTTTCCCACAGTATTTTCACCATGCATCTTAATGTTATCAGTACTAATTGGCATAAGTTATTTAAATATTCCTCAAAGAAACTGGACAGAAGACATCATGACAAGGAAAAAATAATGCATTGTACTTATCACTCTGTGTACTTACTTATCCACTTGTTATAATACATAAAAGCAATGTAGCAATGGCTAAAGCATCCACTTTCGTTTCCTGCCTATCATTTGTTGTGTTCTTTTTTTTCTTTTAAAAATGAGGAAATGGGACTTCTATTTTTTTATTTCTGGACAAACAGTAGATATTTGAAATGCTGCAAGTGTGCATAATGTTGAGACTGGCCTGCATTTGTATTGTCGAAGGCTTTCATGGCTGGAATCACTGGGTTGTTGTAGGTTTTTCGGACTATAAGAGAGAATGCTTCTAGAACATGGCCATATAGCCCAAAAAAACTACAACAACCCAGTGGCCTTTCTTTTCTTGATAACACTTTAGTTTGCCCACTATTCCCTAGGTTTCATCCTCCTTCTGGACTTAAAAAAGTCCTCTACTTTACAGAGTTTAAAGTGGCATCCTAATAATATGTATGCAAAATAAATAGATATATCTTAACTCTCCAAATCAATTTGAAGAATCATTTGCATTGGGTTTTTGAAGATAGAAACAATTTAATAATACATAATTTTAGCTGTCCTGTCTTCAAGCTTTCTGTTAGCTGTAAGGCCTGTCTTAAGGCCTCTCAGTAGTAACAACATTTAATATAATATACATATATAGCATATAAACCTTTTTTCTTACTTTACAAAAACAATATTCTTTGGGTTGTATTTTACAGATGATTCTGGACAGAAGAAATCAAGACAACACAGAATCAAATCAAGCAACCAGGAAAGTGAACTCTTTGATGTGGAGTCCCATTCTGGCAAACAGCTGAGGCATTTCAAATTCATCTCAGTGTCTTTCATGTCACAACTTCTGGCCTCGCACAGTTTTGTGAAAAAAGTAAGAGAGCTTCATCATTCTAACTGGTTTCCTATCCTGTTGTGGATTTGGTTTTAATTGATATCATTTCATGTAGAAATTTGCAACCTGTGAAATGTTGTTTCAAAGTTAATGTCTTTTTCCCATAGCCAGTACTATACCTGGTATTTCATTTTACTTTACTCTATCTAAAGTCTGTATAAATAAAGCACTATTCTGTTAGTCTAGACATCTCAGAAAGGAGGTCCAGAGTCCTCAATATGGCACATCCGGTGGCTATTTTTCCTTTTGTGTACTATAGCAGAAATGTGTGATAGTTAAAAGTGCTTACGTTTTGTTCCATAAGTGGCTCATCACATTCAAAACCATGGCTGATGTTTGTAGGTATTTGCAAGAAGTATTAATATGGCAATAATTATAATGAATAACATGATTAAGTGCTTGTTTTTCCTATGGAACCTGCCCCACGCAATTTCAGGCTGAGTCTACATCTAGATATTCAATCTCAACCCTGTGTTTGCCTGTAATATACAAAGTATTGGTAGGAGATGGAGGGAGTTAGTGTGGTATACATCCCTTCATAAGAGGCTAAATTGCAGAACTAGCAAAAGAGGCAAACTTTTCAGCAGGAGTACATGAACAGTTAAAAGATCATCACCATTCAGGTATACTGTATTTCTTCAGTTCTAATGCACACTTTTTCCTATATAAACATTTCTAAAATAGGAGTGTGTCTTACATAGTTTTGGTGGTACTGGTACTGAAATTAAGGCGCATCTTACCATCTGTTGTGGTTCAGCCAGAGGCTGAAGATGAGAGGATTGTTCATTCAGATATTGTGAGAAATGATGGGCTTCCCAGTGTGGGAAATGAGAGTATTTCGGATCGTGATTCTGTCTGGGAGTCTATGTCTGGTCAGAAAGAAACGGCTTCAGAGCAGGGAGGAGTTGGAGATACTTTGGTATTGGAAGATAGGGAAGACCTTTCCCCTGGTTGTTCCTTGGCAACAAAAGATAAGGAGCTGGAAGGGAAAGATCTTTTCCCTAGGAAAACACCAGAGGTCAGTAGGAGTAGAAGACTCAATCTCCGAGAGGAGGGAGTCAGATTACGGAGGTCACAGAGACTCTGTGATAAATCCTTGAAAAAGACCAGATGTCAAAGGCATGACTTCATGGCTTGTGGGCCTTCAATTTGTGTATTGTTTACTGAAAGGGTTGGAACAGGCAATGCTGCATTACCACGTACACCTGGAATCTTGTGCCACATTCAAGTCTATGTCTAAGATCTTTGGGAAAGTCTTGTGCTCATGTTCATGGATTCATATTTTGGAAGAATTTCCTGTGTACCTGGTTATAGATTTATGTCTTATGTTTTCATTCCTAGTTTTTTCATGTACCTTGTCACTTTTGAACAGAACTTTGATATTTGGACTATTGCCTTTTTAAAGCTTTTTTCCTATTGCTTTTTAGACATTGCTTTTTACCTTTTACCTTTTTATATTTGTTTTCTTCAATAAACTGTTTAGTTAGTACTACTGAACTCTTGTATGGTGCTGGGTGCAAAGATGAATTCAGGCCAGAGTGCAACACAATTGATAATGTCTTACAATTAAAAAAAATACAACATTTTATGGGCTTAAATCAAGTAAGGAAGAAGTGGTGAACATATAGGATGCTGCATTATACCAACTGATATCATTGATAGGCCAGCAGTAGCTCTTCAGGATATCACACAAAAGTTTTTTCCAGCCTTCCTGCAAGAACCATGTATTGATTCTCGGACCCTCTTCAACCATGGACGATCTTAAAGTTTAAATGATCTACCTGCTAGGTATCAAATTATGGAAGATGTAAAAACTATTAGTGTTCCTGATGTAAATTTGGATTCTGTATGCCGGGGTGAAATTTTTTATTATGGTTTTTGCCCCAGAACTATTTTAATATCTCTTGACATTATATTGTCCAGTTAATGTTTTCTTCCTTCTTTTTTATCATTTTCTTTTTCAACTAGATAGTGGAATGTAAAGATGCTGAGGAGTTAAAGGACTTTGAACAGAGGTATGGGTTTTTTTTCCTGATAGGCACATAAAATAAATGCTGAAGCACATAAAGTAGGAAGTTTTAAGACAGGCTTTGGCTATGTTGAATGTGAACGTTATTCATTCTAGTCTTTCAATTTTGTAAAGCTTCAAAATGTTTTTCTTGACCTAAAACTATGCTACATCTCATACAAATGTGTGTCCAAGATGGAAAGAAGAAAATGTTTTAAATCTTTTTGAAAAACCCACCTTAAACAGTACATTTATTTATGATTTATTTTAGTTATGTGCTACCTTTCTCCCAGAATGTGACCCCCCAGCAGTTCACAAGGGGAATAAATCAAAACCTGATAATACAATATTAGAAACAATTAAAATCACATTTTGTGTATGAAATATAACCAGTTGAATAATATTTTCAATTCTTTTGTCAGTAATTCTAGAAGCTTTATAGCATTAAGTTATACTGAAATTGAGCTTCATAAGTTGAATCCAGATTTTGCACCTAAAGCCACTGAGATCAAAGGGGATGAAGCGAGACATCCCTCTAATTTTAGTGCCTTTGCTCTAAGTCCCAATATATTTCAGTATATATTTTATTATGATAATCCAAATGGAACACATGGTAGATTGAAATTCAGTCCAGTTGCCTTTCTGCTCTTATTGGGAATTTCTGACTGTGTATGTGGTTTCCTTGCTCAACTTGGGATCTAATTCTAATGAATTAATGTCATTTTTTTTAGTACCCTCTATCGAAAAGAATATCCCTTGTGAACATGAAAAAATGCAAATATTGTGGAGGAGGAAGAAAAGGCACGGCTGCTGTAGCCCTACAGGAAGAGGAGGAGGAGCGTCACATGGCACTTCACTTGCACTGTGGATCATGGCTCCTTTCCTTCTTCCTGAGTGCCACAAGTGGCTTTTCCCCCTGAGTAAAGGAAGAAAGGTGCCAGGAGAAAGAGAAACTCAGGGCATTCTCCCCTCTCAAACAGGGCCCCTCCCCTCCCCTCCCTTTTAGGGAGCAGGGGCCACTAGTACAAACTCATAAAGAATCAAAACCACAAGTGTGAATACCTGCAAAAGTGAAAGAATGACTTTATTTCACTATGTGTGTAGTAATTCCCTGTTGATGCTTATCCAGGTTGTTGGAAGATGTTCTTCGTTACATAAATGTTGTGGCCCACTCTGTGGAAAAGAACGCTGATTCACTTACAGCCAAATTCTGGAGAGCTCTACTCAATAAGTCCTATGATGTACTGGATAAAGTAAGTTTCTGCTATTCACTGGAGATTTTTTTTCTCTTGCCTTAGTTTCTGTAGCTGCTGATCTTGCAGCGTAGCTTTCATGCTGTGTCTGATGCAGTTTTATTATCTTTTACATAATATTTTGTGCTGTGTTAATTCATTTTGAAGTCTCATCAGCTTCATGTTATCCAACATGCAGAGAGTAGATTTAATGCATTCCAAAGACACTGTATATACTCGAGTATAAGTCGAGTTTTCCAGCCATTTTTAAAGGCTGGAAAAGCCTCCCCCGGCTTGTATTCGAGTCAGTTATTTATTGTTTTACTGGGTTATTATTATTGTTATTACATTTATTATTTTACTCTATTACTATTACATTTACACTATTCTATTATTATTTTAATTACATTTATTATTTTACTATATTATAATTATAATATTTATTATTTTACTCTATTATTATTGGAAGGACACGTAAGCACTTTTACATTGAAGAAGGTTAGAATAATGGTTTAATCAGAGTTGGACAGTCTTACCTTAAATTACAGTTTTATGTAAATATTCAAAAACATTTAACCTACTGATGTCTCAATTAATGTAATTTTATGGGTATCTATTTTTATTTTGAAATTTATCAGTAGTGGCTGCATTTCCCACCCTCGGCTTATACTCGAGTAAATTCGTTTCCCCACTTTTTTGTGGGAAAATTAGGTGCCTCAGCTTTTATTCAGGTTGGCTTACTTTACGGTACTTTACAGTACTTGAAATTGTAGTTTATAAAAAAATGTTTCCAAATGCAAAAGATTCGGCATAAAATGTGTGGGGAAACTGCCTTTATATATGAGAAGGGAAAATCAATACAAATATCTGTTCTAAAGCTTGAAGCGCTTTGCCTGAATGTAGTGGAACTTGAAAAGAGGAAGGAGGTTCAGGGCTGGGGCTGCTGTGAGGGCGGGGGAGAGTCTGAACTACCTGCCAACCAATTTTACAATGTCTCTATGCACTAGAACCCCTTGCCCCACAGTTCCAGTTCTCTGAGATTTTCCCCAACATCCAAGAAAACTGGAAAAAGCTTGGGGGGGGGGTACATTGGAATGGAAACAATTGGGAATTCTTGTTGTATGTTGATTAGCGCATCCTGGTTCCATTCAATACCCACCATTTATCTGGAGAGCAAAAATACTTGTGGGCCCCAAGAGGATTGGAGTAGTTCAGAAGGAGCAAGGCAGGCATGGCCTTTTAACCTGCCATTATTTTAAAATGAAAACCACCTGTCTGTCTTTCTCTGTTTCTTTTTAGGTCAACTCCTTAATGCCAACAGAGACCTTTATTCCTGTCATCAGGGGCCTGATGAAAAACCAGTTGCCTTCTGTGAGACGAAAAGCAATGGATCTCTTGAACAATAAGTTGCAGCAGCGCACACCATGGCAGCCAGCACAAGTAAGCTATATTTCAGATTGCCTCATTTTTTTGAAGTCTGCCATATTGTTTGATCTGGCCTTTGCTTTCAATCGGGACTTCTTAAACTTTTCCACTTTTCAGCCTGTGAAGTTTTTTTATGACGCCAGATATATAGGTTTGTTTGTTTGTTTGTTTGTTTTGTGTCAAAAGCATTGTATAAAGTAGTACAAAACTGGTAAAAATAGAAGGAGCACAAGCAACTAAATATCTTTTGACCACAAATGGGCAACAGCGACTGCATTGTCTGTAGCCTCAAACAATTCTTCCTCTGTACATGAGGCAGGACATTKCGGGCAAGCATACAGATGCAGAATTTTCTGTTCTGCTCCACACTTGCACAAGGTGGAGGATTATTTTAGGTAGTGCCATTTTGCCAGGTTGTCTTTTGATCTGCCCACTCCACTTCTGAGTCTGTTCAGGGACTTCCMAGTTGCCCATTCTCGGTTTGCTCCTGGAGGAAGACCCTTGTGGGGAGGCGRGCATCCAATTGGGATTTCCTGGTTTAGCTGCCCAGAAGAATGCTCTTGCTGTTGCTGGGGGAACGTTAAGAGGAGTGGTGATGCTCATGAAACATTTCCTTGATTTGAGTGTACTGGGAGGAGGCTGATAGCCATGTAGTGGGTGGCTTTCACAGCGTTCAACCTTATTTCTCTCACAGTTAGCAGAAACTTCCCGTTGCACATAGGGAAGTTTTTATAATCATTTACTGATTATAAATCTGCATTTTCAAGGCTTGCAAAACAGGCTGATTTCCCTTTCTATGAAGTACAGCTGAAGCACCTTCTGCGTAGTCCGCTGTAAACAATGCACAGAAAACTTGTGCAAATGTCTAAAACAGCCATTAGGTAACTGTTACCAAATTTTTCAAGACCCCAGCATTGAGCTAAAGGGATCCCATTTGGGGTTGTGACCCACAGTGTAAGAAGCAGTGCTTTAAATAGCAGCATAAAAGAAAAAAGATGAAGGTCACAGAAAAGAATATTTCTTTGTAAGTAGCTCCTTGGCTATATTATTTGCAAAGCTTCTTCAACATACTTTTCACAACAAGATCCTACTTTGTTAGTCAGATCTGAAGCCCAGCTGAACTTTTTTTTTAAAAAAAAAATAGTTATTTATTTGTTTCTTTGTTTCTTTATTTTGCATTCCAGGTTGATATGCTGTTAGACATGGTTCCCGAACTCATTGCTGTTGTACGGCAGGAGACACACAGGACTGAGGAGGAGCAGGCCATCAATAGGCAGACTGCTTTGTTCAGTCTGAAATTACTCTGCAAATGTTTTGGCCATGAAAAACATGATCCATTTACAGCAGTGCTCAAAATGGCTGTTGATGTGATAGCTTCAGAAGAGAAGGAAGAAAGAAATGTCACAGGAAGTGCTTTGCTGTGTGCTGCTGAAGTTACCTGTGTCCTGAAAGCACTCGCGATACCTCAGCTCCCAAGGTAGCATTTCCAAACACGATAAATAATAATGAAATGATGCAAGCATATAGTCATTTAAGGCATGGCATGTACATTTATTTCATTGATACTCCCAGTCCTCCAAGATAAAGTTCTTATCCTTTAGAAACACTTGGAATAAAGCTGAGACTATGGTGTTACCTTAACTGGGGATAATTTTAGCCAGAACGCCCTGCCAACTTATACGTAATAGAAAGTCTTAAGTTTTGCTGAGATGTTAGGATTCTTAAATGTTGATATGCTGCATATATGAGTGAAAGTTTTCTTTCATGTTCTAGGTGTTTCATAACTGAAACAATTTTGGAATTCTCACTAAAACTAATTTTCCACGTGCTTTCTCACTAGCATTGCATTCATGATCTCCATGTGTCCAAGAATATATGCTTTTAATTATGTGCTTTCTGTGCTTTAAGATACCCTGCAATGAAATATATTTTGAGGAAAATTGTAAATAACTTTATTTTATTTAGAAAGATAACTTTTTTGTTAATGTATGGGTTAATATTATGTCTGTATTTTTGTAGGCTTATGCCAGCATTGCTAAATATTCTAAAACACACAAAAGAGTTGGCTGCCAGTGAAATTTACTTGCTTAGTGCAGTGACGGCACTCCTGAAAATCGTGGAAACATTGCCACACTTCCTCAGCCCATATTTGTTGCATATATTACTACAGGTAAGTCTTAATTTGGATAAAGATGATTTTGAATCCACTGAATAGCAAAATGTATAAACCTTTTGTATTAACTAATTAAACTTGTGCATTTGCTGCTTGCTAGATGGTCCATTTAGAAAAGATTGCAGCTGGAATGGGCCCTTCCTCCCAGGTTCACCTGCGCTTGGCCTCTCTGAAAACTACTCTAGCAACAAAACTGCCACCAAGAGTTCTTCTGCCTGCAGTTGCAAAATGTTACAGTGAAGTAGCAAATACTCACAAGGTACTTATAGATATTTTTCTGCTCTGCATTTGATGTATTGCTTTATATTTAAAACAGCAGTAGAGCTTTATGCCTAAGGAGTAACAAAGGAGAAATAAATCCACAAAGCAGGACTTATCTCACTTTACAGAAATACTAGGTTTGTGTAGCATCATTCTTCTGAATTCTTCTATTATTATTAGTATTAGTATTACTATTATTATTATTATTATTATTATTATTATTATTTGATACATATCAAGATTAGTACGCAGCAAACAAGATCACTGTGCTGGCTTTTGTATTTGACAACACGTTGGACACTTCCCAAGTGTCTAGGAATGTGTGATGTATCGGCGAATAATGTCTGCAGATCCGATTAGGGTGGCCTTTTGCAGCTGACAGATGGTAATTTTGTCAACATTGATTGTTTTTAAGTCCAGGCCAAGGTCTTTAGGCACTGCACCCAGCATGCCAATCACCACTGGGACCACCTTTACTGGCTTGTTCCAGAGTCTGTGCAGTTCTATCTTTAAATCCTCATATCGTGTAAGTTTTCCAGTTGCTTCTCGTCAATTCTGCTGTCACCTGGGATTGCAACATCGACAATCCGTACTTGGTTTTTCCCCATGATTGTGAGGTCAGGAGTATTGTGCTCCAAAACTCTTGTCAGTCTGAATTTGGAAGTCCCAGAGGAGTTTGAGGTGTTCATTTTCCGTAACCTTTTCAGGCTTGTGATCCCACCAGTTCTTTGTCACAGGCAGATGGTGTTGTTATTATTATTATTATTACTACTAATACTACTACTACTATTTTACTTCTTACTCACCTCTCCTTGTGGCGCGAGGTAGGTCACAACATGGCTAAAAACACATCAACACAAACATTATATAGAATACAAATATTAAAACATGTTTCTATGAAATTCATATATTAAAATACACCAAAGAAAGATTAAAGTTCAGTAGACATAGAACGTGAGTTTAAAATTCATAGTTAGAACTGATTGGGTAGGCCTGCTGGAAGCGATGGGACTTCAGATGTGCTTTAAACTCCGACAGAATAATGTTGTTACTCAGACTTAGTAATCTCTCAACTTTGGCAATTATTTCTGCCTTTCAATGCTGTCTTTAAGACCAATGAGAGGAGAATGGTCGCCATAAGCTCATGTAAGGATTAATGTTTCCTAGTTACAAGTAATTTCCAAAGCCCTAAGTTCTCCAGCTGTGTGCAATGTAGGAAAATCTGCCTTAGAAACAGATTTGGTTTTGTATGTATTGATTTGAACTTACTATCTTTTTTATTATTTTGTTTTCCTAGACCTGTTTAGGTGCCGTTATGGATATTCTGAAGGAGCATATTATAATTCTGGAAAGAGATCAACTTAGTGCCCATCAGTCTGAGCTCACGTCATTTTTTGTGAAGGCCCTGGACTTTAGAACAGAACACTCTCAGGTACAGGAGAACTTTATGCATGAACGTATTCAGCCTTTAGGAAAATATTTCAAGCATATTTGATTACTTTTATTAGAGAGATTAAAATTTACCTCTTTGAATCCCAACCATATGTAGGACTCAACCCACAATTCCCACTCTTCTCATTCTAAATACACTCATAATAAAGTTACTTAAAGATCCTTTACTTAGTCCTCACATTCCCAAGAAGGCGAAAAGAGGCCTCTACCTGCATTGAAATTAACTACAATAAATGAACACTACGTATTGGAATTATTATAATCTTGCTGGAAGGCCACTTATTAAAACAAGAGATAAAACATTATTAAAACACATACAACTTGTATTTTAGCTCTGTGTATCTTGTTTTAAAATTGGAGCCCCCGGTGGCACAGTGGATTAAACTGCTGAGCTGCTGAACTTGCTGACCAAAAGGTCAGCAGTTCGAATCTGGGGAGTGGGGTGAGCTTCTGTGGTTAGCCCCAGCTTCTGCCAGTCTAGCAGTTTGAAAACATTCAAATATGAGTAGCTCAATAGGTACCGCTCCAGCGGTAAAGTAACAGTGCTCCATGCAGTCATGCCAGCCACATGACCTTGGGAGGTGTCTATGGACAATGCCAGCTCTTCAGCTTAGAAATGGGGATGAACACCATCCCCTCAGAGTAGGACACAACTAGACTTAATGTCAAGGGGAAACCATTACCTTTTCTATGTGTAACTTATATGTGTTTTAGTAGTGTTTTATCTCTTGTTTTAACAATGTTGGCCCGATCTCAAACCGCAAGAAGAGAGTAAGGAATGTATTATTTATTTATTTATTTATTTTATTAATTTAAAACCATCTCATTTTTTGCTAGGATAATCTGGAAGAAGTTGGGGAAGTAGAGGGCCATATTATTATGTGCTTAATCAGCATGGTTATGAAGCTTTCTGAAATGTCTTTCCGACCACTCTTCTTCAAGGTAGGAGTTTTGATCTGCTTCTCTCTCAGCCATTTGTCTTTGTACCCAAACTAAACACCCTCTCTCTGTTTCAGCTCTTTGATTGGGCCAAAACTGAGGGTGCCCCAAAAGATCGGCTGTTGACTTTCTGCAGGCTGTCCGATTGCATTGCCAAGCAGCTGAAAGGATTGTTCACTCTCTTTGCTGGACATTTAGTGAAGCCTTTCGCTGATATTCTCAGTGAGATCAATACTTGCAAAACAGGTACGCTTCCGGTTACAGCAGATACAAAAAGGCAGGGATCTGAAATTTAATTTAAAAAAATAGGTAATTTGAATATGTGTATAGTAAAGGTAAACATTTCCCCTTGACGTTAAGTCTAGTTAAGTCCGACTCTGGAGGGTGGTACTCATCTCCATTTCTAAGCCAAAGAGCCGGCATTGTCCATAGACACCTCCAAGGTCATGTGGCCAGCATGACTGCATGGAGCGCCATTACTTTCTTGCTGGAGCAGTACCTATTGATCTCGCATTTGCATGTTTTTAAACTGCTAGGTTGGCAGAAGCTGGGGCTAACAGCAGGAGCTTACCCCATTCCCTGGATTCAAACCACCAACCTTTCAGTCAGCAAGTTCAGTTCAGCGGTTTAACCTGCTGCACCACTGGGGGCTCCCTGTGTTTATAGTTTGGTCATAATATTGTCAGTCTAACTACTGAAATTACAGGCTGAATTTACTGCTGCTTTAAACTTCTATGTGTTCACATGGCACTTATTTGCACTGTGCAGGTCACATCTACAGTGAATGTTGTAGAAATTGAAATTGCTGCCTCATTTTGTTTCTTTCCTGCCTTTTGTTCCTAATGCAGACAAAGCTTTCTTTGAGTCTGAGAACAACACTGAAAAGAGCTGCTTGTTGCTACAGTTCATCCTGGATTGTTTACACAAAATCTTCCTTTTTGACTCCCATCAATTTGTGAGCAAAGAAAGAGCAGAAACATTGATGATGCCTTTGGTCCATCAGGTATTAATAAATTTGTTAATGGCCTAACTGCTGGGTGGTACAGATAGTTACTGATATTCTGTGTTAGCTGCTTAGTTACATTTGCATAACTGAGCCTCCAACCCTCTACTCCAGCCCACTTTTATGAGTCAGCATCTAGATCAGATAAAAGAGCTCCATTCACCTTCCAATCAGAGGCACAAGGAGGATGTTTTAACCCTTCTCCCACTAGAGAATGAGGCTATGACAATGTCGTGCGAGTATGTGCTGCTTCGGAAAGATATGTCATCCTCATTGCTCCATAGAAGTGCATTTAAATATTTCATTTTAAAGGGTACACATTTAGGATTGATTGACTGGCTTGTGCAGACAAACATGAAACTACAATGAAAATACTTCACATTTTTATTGTTCTGCATATGCTTCTATTTCTCCAAATAGCTGGAAAACATGCTTGGAGGTGAAGAGAAGTTCCAGGAAAGAGTGCAAATGCATTTGATCCCATGTATAGCTCAATTTGCAGTTGCAATGGCAGATGACTCTCTGTGGAAACCCCTGAATTACCAGATTTTATTGCAGATGAGGCATGAATCACCAAAGGTATGTGCCAGTTAGGTCTTGAAGAAATTGATCCTGTTGAAGTCACTGTGATGTCATTCAGATGGCAGATTACTGTGTTTTCAGCTTAATGGGTGGTTTATTTGGTGCAGGAGAAGAAATCATGGGAACTGCAAAACTGAATTGACTGGATGGAGCATTTAGTGTTCCCACACTGTTTTGCTTTTTGCGGACTCGCTGTTTTGCGGGTTTTTGTCTCCTGGCAACATTGGAGTGTAGAAGGGGGTTTCATAAAAAAGAGAGAGAGGAGATACAAAGCAGTATGTAAATCACGACTAAGCCCTTTCCTTATAGCTAGCAAAAAAAAAAGGTGTGCAGTGCCTTTAAAATCTCCCTTCTGCCTCACCCTTGGAATGCTATATATATATAGAGTGTGTGTGTCCCTACTTTGCAGATTTTCACTTTTCGCGGGTGGTCCTGGAACATAACACTTGCTATAAGTGAGGGAACACTGTATTGTTTGATATTGCATGATATGTTCAATAATCGTGCAGGTCAGTCCATAATAGAGCTGTGTTTATGACTTAATGTACAGATATAGATTTTTTTTTATCCTCTATTCTTGAGTCAAGGTATTTGAAGAAAACCATTTGGTAAAAAGAAGCTCTGCTTTGACTAGGCTCTTTTTTCGTTTAGGTCCGATTTGCTGCCTTATTGACTTTGCTAGAATTTGCAGAAAAAATAAGAGAGAACTACATGGTGCTTCTCCCAGAGGCTATTCCCTTCTTAGCTGAACTTATGGAAGGTAACGTATCACATTTTTGCAATTACACAACTTTAGTTTCATATCTTCTTTTCCTGAAGAGATTACTGCATTTGTGTCGAACTCTTCCTCCATGCAAAGTGAGGACTCTTATGTAATCAAGGGAACACAACCTGGACATTCCCACACAAGATGAAGTTTTGATCTGTTATCAGGTCTTTGTCCATAGTACTTTTGGAAGTGTTTTAATTTGCACTTAAGGTGGAAATCAGCTACTTAAAGGTCAGATCGTATTATATTGCAGTGATGAAAAAAGTGTGGGCTACATGCAGCCCTTTAATGTTGTTTCTGTGGCCACAAAGGGACTTCAAATTGTTCTGCCATTTTTAGATTCAGGAGCAGCTTTTTTGAAATTAAAGAGTAAATTGGAAAGATTTTGGAATTAAAAAATGATAGCCGAGATCCTACATTACATTTGTAGCTACATTAATGTTGCTCTGAAAGGATTGATTCTCACCTGATGTTGCCTGAATAGAGTTACATACCCATAACAACAATGTAGAAAGCCAGCCTGTCACCTTGTTTCTTTAAAATAGAGATATTTGGTTCTCTAGGGATCGAATGTGCCCTCTTTGGGCCCTAATAGTTGCCCACCCCACCTGAGTTGTAAAGGAGCATTGGTAATAAAGTACAATTTCAGCTGTTTTGAGGAGGGAGATTCAGGGGAACATAAAGAATGGTCAGAGGGGCCCACTTGGCCTTCTGGGATTGTATGGGCATTTACAAACTACAGTGATGATTGGTACAAACTACATTGCCCCGTTCAGTTTTGAGTGACAATTTCAGAAAGATCCCTGCCGTATCTTTCTGCATTCTTCTTATGTGATAATGTTTTGTGGCATTAGTGGCATTATTGCTGAGACATTAAGTGTATTGCTCACTTTGTTATAATTTTAAAATAACCTTCCTACAGTCCAAGAAACAGTAATGGCTGGAATGCATTTGCATTACAAGAATACCCAATTGTGTGATTCACAGAGACCGTGAAGAGTAATGATTATTTATTTATTGTCCATTTCTTTTTGTGGGTCAAGGCAGGATACAACATAGTTAAAAAGGCTATAGACTCTGGGTTAATTTCCTCGTAATACAGTACTGATGATAAAATACACTATTTTTATTAAGTATATTTTATAGAGAACTCTTTTCAGCATCCCAAGTAGTACTACAATTTACATTTGTAGCCTCTTCAAATTAAACCAGGCTGGGAGACTATCTTTCTGCCCCTAGAGGCCTCTGTACTGTCACAAAAACGCAGGGCAGGAGAAGGTAGTGACCAGAGAAGCCTTGAAGTGTTGAATTGCACAGGGGAACCCTGTGGCCTGCTTAAAGTTGGCCTGTTTTTGTCTGTTAGAAGAAGCCATTAATTTGAGATTGGGGAGGAACCAGAAATTTTTATTTATTTATTTATTTACCCTATCTATATCCCGCCTTTCTCAGCCCCAAAGGGACTCAAGGCAGCTTACATATAGGCAACTATTCAGTGCCTTAAAACAACATACAATTGAAATAAGCATTTAAATTAAAAATTGAAATTAATTCATATTAAACATTTAACAACATTACAGTTGCTATTAAAATCACACCATCCACAATATTAATCTGGGGCCATTCCAGAATTCATTGCACATATTCCTTATCTGTTATTGCACTGCAACTATTCTCCAAAGGCTTGATGCCAAAGCCACATTTTCACTTTCCTTCTGAAGGTCAGGAGGGAGGAAGCTGATCTAATGTCACTGGGAAGGGAGTTCCACAGCTGAAAGGCCACCACTGAAAAGGACTGAGAGAGCAGGGCCTTCCCAGATGATCTTAATCTCCGAGAAAAAGGCAGTCCAGGAATTCAAGGGCTGCAAACAGCCAGTCATGGGAGGCCTTATGCCACCCCACAGCCACACTTTGCTTTCCCCCCAAATTAAAAAGCAAAATCACATAAGAGAAGGACATAACTCGGAATAGCTTTTCTTGTTGGCCATTTTAAGTTAATTGTTTTTGTCTTCCAGATGAATGTGAAGAAGTAGAGCATCAGTGCCAGAAGACTATTCAGCAACTTGAAGTTATTCTTGGAGAATCCTTGCAGAACTACTTCTAATCTAATGGTGTTAAGAGCATCATACTTCCATCAAGATGAAACTGAGACATCGCTTAGCAGTGTGTTTCTATAGAGATTTTGCGCAAATTGTTCTATATTTCTTTTTACATGTTTGTTGAGTTGTAAATTATGTTTGAACATTTGACAAATGAGCATTTTTAAGAGTTAAACTTTTAATTTCTATGAATGTGTTTCTTTGTCTCATTTTTAAAACTGCACACTGAAAAGCTCTTACATTGCATTCCTCATAAGAGTGACATGCCAGGGGAGCAGCGTTCTATAAAAGGCTTGTTTAACAGGAAGAACTGTATTGTTAAAATGCTCTCATACATTACTGTGTTCTTAAAATGCAAAAGAAACTCCCATCTGCAGGTATAAACATAAGACAGCTGTGCTAAAACGTTTTCTACATCAGTGGTTCTCAACCTGTGGGTCCCCAGATGTTTTGGCCTCCAACTTCCAGAGACCCTAACAGCTGGTAAACTGGCTGGGATTTCTGGAAGTTATAGGCCAAAACATCTGGGGAGAACTACTGTTGAGAACTACTGCTGTACATTATTTACATCATCTATTTAAAACAAAACATGTCACAGAGCTTTGTGATATACAAATTTGGTTTTATTTGTGGAAGACATAAAATTTGAGGTTTTGTATATAGCTTCATAGAAGTCATATCTCAGTTCTGAACATGTTAGAACTATATACTGATGCTTTGGATTGTTCAGCTGAAAAAACTGGACCCTGTTTCTAAAATCTGCCATTATTACGTAATGTGTATAAACATTTCCATTTGGATTACAGCATTCCACAGAAAGATTATTCATGGGAAGTTCTTTACACTCTTTTAAAAAAACATAGTTGAACACTCACAGGGCAATCCTAGAGGAGATATATTTGTTCCAAGATATATTTGTGTTTAAAAAAAGCAGCCACGTGATTATCACTTAGAATATGGTATTTCTCTAAAAAGGTCTAAAAGGTGAAATATGCACACATAAAAACTCTTAAGGAATTTCTCAGTGCTTCATAAACTGCTTGATGTTGGTAGTCTTCAGGTTCGCTGTTCATCCTTAAATATGATCTTTATCGCAAGAGCTGGTGTATCACTTAATATATTGTTCTAAATATACAATTGTTCTATTGTATATTTACTATGCAAGCTATGGTTAATTAGTAAGCATATCTGAAATTCTTCATCAGGGCAAGAATGGAGAGATGTCTGGAATCAGTTCTTTATAGTTAATCTTGAGTCCTCAAGATTAGGTGGGGGGAAGGATGGAGATCTTTCTGCAAGCAATTTTAGGAAATGCACAAGTATTCCTGCACAACTACCAACTCTTCATGTCGAGCAGTAGAACATCCCCTGAGATCTCAACTGTGTTGATCTTGTTTAGTTGTTTAAAGCGGTGTTTGTACTCCAGGGTGTGGACACCATTGATGGCAACATTGTACTGGTGAGCTTGACAGAGTATTATAAGCTGAAAATTTAAAAGGGAAAGTTACAACATTTTTAATGAAACAGAACATTCAAATTTTGGGATAGTTTTGCTAAGACTATCTGTAAGTTCTGGTAAGACTGCTATCCACAGATTTTGCCTAATCTTAAAATCTCAAAAATGGGTCAAAGAATCTACTTTGGTCAAAACCACAATCCAATTTCTGGCAGCATCTAAAACAGGCCTGCACCACATGCCGCCCACAGCCTACATGCGGCCCACCTGCCTGCCCACCCCTGGGAAGGAAGAAGTGAGAAAAGGAAAGAAAGACTGACAGATCATTAGATAGAGGTAGAAAAAAGAGAGGGAAGAAATGAAAGATAAAAGTAAGTAGGAAAAAGGTAAAGGATTCAGAATTCAGAAAGCATGTAGTGGTTTGAACCTCAGACTATGGCTCAGAATGCACTGGGTAACTTTAGGCAAATCGCACTCTCTCATCCTCAGAGGAAGACAAAGGCAATCCCCATTGAATAAATCTTGACAAGAAAACTGTCATAGGGTTACTTTAGGGTCGCCTAAGTCTGAAATGGCTTGAAGGCACACAACTACAGTCGTAATTAATCATTAATTATGCCTTACTTAAAAAGTGAGGGGCTAAAATGTGATCCCAAGAGACTTATCCAATCTAATTTTGCAGTAATGACAAATTGTGCAGGCCAGGTCTAAAATGAAGCTGAGTCACTTGCAACTTTTACTTATGTTTCCAGTGGCAGCAGAAAACACAGCTAAATTATATGGAATCCACTTGGGGAAAGGCTGTAGTACAACTGTTTTCCAGCTTAAATCTCTGCAGTAGCCTCTATGCTGCATTTCCTGTTTCAGAGGCAAACTATTATTTTAAGTCTAGAACAGAAGGATGTGTATGATTTGCATTTCCCTCCCACCAACTGATCCCACATCTTTTATAACCTTTGACAAATGTCTGCATTGGCACATTTGGATGCCAGGCCTTGTTTACTTGCTGACCTCAAAGTACATTCCTGGACTGAAAGGGAAATGAGGGACCTCCCTCTCTTCTTCTCCCCAACAATTCGACAGGTAGGAATTTCTCACAAAACTTTTCTCTTTCATTCGGGGATTCAGATGCAGTGCAATATCATCGGAATCACTGGGTTTAAGGTTAACTGTAAACCTGTAAGAGAAACAGTAATATTTAAGGTTCCAACTGAAATTTCCTTTAGGAAAAAAATAGTGTCGTCCATTTATCTTTGCATGTGAGCACTACAGAGACAAGTTCACTAACCACTTCCCAACTATTTTTGTCTTCTACATGTAGCACTGGAATGATTTTAAAATTTAAAAAGTCTGATCTGTCACCTTTATGTGATATTAGGAAACTCCTGGGGGATTGTTGTAGACTTTTGAGAGCCTCTGATTCAAAGGATTGATTCCTATGGTAAACAAATCTCTTATTCAGTCCCTTCCAAGACCTTAAATATCATTCCCAAAACAGTGACAAATAACTGTAAGCAGTTTTGAAAACATATACTAAAATGTCCTGTTCTGGATTTCTTGGGCTGTAATGGACCTTAGGAATCTTTTCATAGTCCACATTCTCTTTCTACGCTCTAGCTCAGTGGTTCCCAACCTATGGTCCGTGGACTACCAGTGGTCCACAAGAACTAAAATATGACCTGTGACCTCACCATTACTACACTGTTGCAATGAAAGCGACTGGTCTCACGAAACCCTCTTATAGTGTTGAGGCTTATTAAATAGGGGTTTCTTTGGGCTAGCAGATGGCAACTACTGGATGGGCATATGTTCCATATCAGAATCTAGAACTGATGTGGTCTATCCAATGCAATTTTCTGAATCAGCACTCCAAATAACCAGACCAAATCTAAAGTTGACCAAAAACTGATTCGTAACCCTTTTGGAACTAATGTTGGAGACTAGTCCCTGGTAAAAAAAAAAAAAAGGCTGGGAACCACTGCTCTAGCTAGTATATAGCTTATCCCATTATAAGACACTATTTAGGGCTTTTTGCAAACTCATTTTTGTGTCTCATATCCTTTTTAAAAATAATACCATGCAATCTTTCTGTAGTCTTTTGTCAGTTTGCTATTAGTTTGTTCCTGTCTGGGTTTTTTAAAGCTTAACCACTTAGTAAGCAGAAGTAACCAATATAGTTTCCAGTAAGTCTTTAGGAAGAAAATCACCCAACACTACGTGATGGATGTCAGTTCGTGGAATGGAGGTTTCCCTTTCCATCCTCTTATTATTTCCTGCAGTAGATTTGGAGGAGGCTGGGAAGCTGGATGTTGGTCAGCAGAGCCTGTGTCTCTGGCAAAAGGATGGCACCAGCTACAGTCCTCAACCTCATATCCTGCTACCTACCCATTTTACATTTGTGTATAAACTATAATGTTTGCAAAACCTTGCAGTTCATCAACTGTGAACATTGGACACTTGAAGGAATGGGAAAGAGCATGAAGGATTTGCTTAAACCACATACACACTTGTTGGAATAAAACACTTTTTGGAGCCAGTTCAATTTACTTCTGGAGAAACATGCTTATGATACACATCTTCATGGGCAAGACAACAACATGTAAAACATTATTGACAAAAGTTGTGCAGACGGATCCAACTCACTAACCTGCTGGCTTTCTCTTTAATTTCACCTTTTATGGCAATTGTTCTCCCAGGCTCAAGAGGAGAATTAAGTCTAGCAATATAAGGAATGACCTAAAATACAATAATGTGCAGCATTAACTATATTCAAAAGATGAACGATTTTGCAGAAACTTACATATGGTTGACAATTACTGATTTTCTCCCCCAGTGTAAAAAAAACTATTTTTACAAGCATGAGCAGAATAATTTCAGAAATAATTTGGTAATCTTTCTTATTGTCGAAGGCTTTCATGGCAGGAATCACTGGGTGACTGAGAGTTTTCCGGCCTGTCTGGCCATGTTCCAGAAGCATTCTCTCCTGACATTTCACCCACATCTATGGCAGGTATCCTCAGAGGTTGTGACCTCCCAACCTCTGAGTATGTCTGCCATAGATGTGGGTGAAATGTCAGGAGAGAATGCTTCTGCAACGTCGCCAGACAGCCTGGAAAACTCAGAGCAACCCATCTTTTTATTATTTCAACAATGCACCCCCCAACCAGCTCCCAAGGTTTCCATTTCACTGGCTTAAGATTTGAAACTATATTTGAATAGGTAATTTTCCTATTTCAAAACATTTTGCCAATTGCATTAAACTTCATGACAATCAAGGAAAAGGATGTAGTTTGTCATTTTTAAACTGGGAAGTGAGTGGATGGCCTCACAAACACCAGTTACATGTTGTCCATTCCTGCTGTTCAAGAAACAATTATAAGAAGGCCAGGATAACAAGTAGCTGCATTACCCCACATGCAAGCTTTTACGCAGATTCATACTGAAATCAGGTCTGCTATTGTACACCCACTGAACTCAATGGGCTGTTTTCTTGAGTAAATGAATATAAATTTGTGCTGTAATGCTACAAATCAGGAGACACCCACACTTTCTGATATATTTGGAATTAAAAACAGTACCAGAAAATCCAAGTCCAACAGGGTGTAGTGTCTGGAGAACTTACATTTTCAAACAATGTTATCTTGTTATGTTCTGAATCATCCTTAAGTGAATTTACAAACTGGAAACTATCCAAGCTAGTGCAAAGCTTGATGCATGATAGAGGAATAGAAAGTTTCTTATCTATTGCACAGGGAATGTGATGACTAATAAACCACATGTCCATAGGGACCCCTGAGGTGATTTTCTCCTGCTCTTAAGAAGAAAGGAGGATGAGGAGAGGGTCGGCTTTAGTACAGCAGGTTAATCATCAGCTGCAGGAAATCTTCCCAACTGAAAGGTTATTAACAGTTTGAAGCCAGGTCAGAGAGAGCTCCTGACCTTCAGCCCAGCTCCCCACCCACCTAGCAGATCAAAAACAGCAATGTGAGTAGATGAATAGGAACTGCATTAAGCAGAGAGGTATTTTAGGCACGGCGTTTGGAGGAAAGTTTACAAACAAAGAAAGCTCTTCAGCAAGGAGATGGCATGACAGCATTCCCCTGTGACTGGAACCGAGCACAGCCTCCAAAGATGCCAAATGATGAGAAAAAGCCTTTATATGCTTCTATCTGTTGTCTATCTTGTCATTGTAAAATCGGCATTGAATGTCTGCCATATATATGTTCTGTGATCATATATATCACAGAACATATATCACAGAGCATATGAAAACGGCGGAATATAAGTACTATAAATAAATAAACTATCCGGAAATGGCACATAGAAAAGTTCAACAGTGCTCATTCTTTCTGAGCTTTTCATATGCAGTTCCATTTTAAAGGTACTTACAAATTGTGAATTATCAGGTAATTCTTCCTGTTGGTAAGAAGTAAAAGGCAAAGTTAACTACAAATGTAAAAAGACAACACAGGTGGGAAACTAGCATACATTTTCTGTGCTTTTATTTGCTATCCCTAGCAAGGAAGGCTGAAAAACTTGCAAAGACTGCAAAGAAAAGATAGATAACACTTGGTGATCACAGGAACTTCATCTAAATCTCTGAACAGCAAATTGCTAACATGTTCTTGGTGAAATTGTAAACGTCTTGTTTTCCAATCTTGAACATGTCGGCAAGGCAGTGACCATGCAGCAGGGACAGGAATCAGGCTTCTTAATAGGATCTGGTCATTTAAGCCAGTGGTTCTCAACCTGTTCCACAAGAACTAAAATATGGTCTGCAGCCTCATTGTTACTACACCATTGCAACAAGAGCAACTGGTCTCACGAAACCCTCTTATAGTGCTGAGGCTTATTAAATATGCTTTTCTGTGGGTGAGCTGATGGTGACTACTGGATGGCATATGTTCTGTATCAAAGACTAGAGCTGATGTGGTCTATCCAATGCAATTTTCTTAATCAGAGCCCCAAATAAATAAACCAAATCTAAAGTTGACCAAAAACCGATTCGTAACCTATTGGGTACTAACATTGGAGAGTTGTGCCTGGTCAAGTGTTTCCTGGTCAAAAAACGTTGGGAACCATTGATTTAAGCAAAACATTAATATGAGAAGATCCCACAAAGGGGTGTTCTGACCCTGGAAACCATTAGCATGTGATGGTGGTGACGATCTCTGGGCTCTCCTGATATTTTGGATGACAACTCCCAGAACTCCTTAGCATTCACAGGGCTGGATGGGACTTTGAGTTTTAAGTCCAAAACACAGCAGGAAAGCCACATGATCCCACTTACACAAATATTTTGCCTTTGCTTCCTCAGTCCTGGCTTACAGAAATATAGAGCTCAGAGAGACGCTGTATTTACAAGCAGAATTTCCTACTTAGGATACAACTGACTACTGCTGGCACTATCCAATGCTAGGGTCAGTTACAGAGTTAAGCAGACAGCATCTTCCCTCATTTTTTTGAGCTAGGAGTGAAGCAGAACATCAATTCCATTCTGCTCAAAATTTTGAACAGATCCTTAGGCATGCAACTTAGTGCAGCAAAGAGGTAAACAATACCACTGCCTACATGATATATTTAGTTAAAGCTCAACATAAATTGCTGCCTTACAGATTAACTTACCTTATTTGCAACAAATCCGACCATGTTGATCTCCACGTTTCCATATATTCCAAGGGTGTTTATCTTTTCAAGATTAATTTTGTGTTTGTAAAGCAACAAGTGCTTTTTATTTACGGACACCTAAGGAAATGGAGCGATAAGAAGTATTTTACAAAGTACAAATGAACTTTTGCAACAGAGCTATATTTCTTCCAACTTAAAACGAATGGACCGTATTTTCTTTCTCACATCAAAAGTTTTTAATCAAGATCAACAGCTGCTCATGAACTCTGTTTTTGAAAACGATGAATAATGTTACCACTCTAACCCTGAACCCACCTAAATTCTGAAACTATGCATGATCAGGTAGGCCTTGATGGTATTTCAGTAGAAGATCTCCAGGAATATCAATGTAGAGCTAGTGAGATGTTGGCAATATCAGATTAGAGAGACCATTAGCTTGACTCAAGAAATGGGCAGCCACCCATGTTTCCATGTTACTGGAAAGGTACCACTACAAAGGTATTCAGTTCAGTGGTTCTAAAATGCTTGGTCTGACAGCCCTGCTTATTGTATATACTCGAGTATAAGCTCACCCGAATATAAGCTGAGGCACCTAATTTTACCACAAAAAACTGAAAAAATGTATTGACTCAAGTATAAGCCAAGGATGGGAAATGCAGCAACTACTGGTAAATTTCAAAATAAAAAATAGATACCAATAAAATTACATTAATTGAGGCATCAGTAGRTTAAATGCTTTTTTAATATTTACATAAAACTAATATAAGGCTGTCCAACTCTGATTAAACAATTATTCTAACCTTCTTCAGTGTTAATGTGCTTACGTATTCTTTCAATAATAATAGAGAGTAAAATAATAAATGTAATCATAATAATCAATAGAGTTCATGTAATAATAAAAATAGAGTAGAATAAATGTAATAACAATTAKAGAGTAAAATAATMAATGCAATAATAATAATAATTAATAGAGTTAAATAATAAATGTAATAAAAATAATAAGAGTAAAATGATAAATAACTTTGATTTGAGTATAAGCCAAGGCGGGGGGGGGGGGGCTTATATACTCGAGTATATACGGTATGTTTGTTAGTAYAATGACAATGTAGAACAAAAGGCTGACCAATCTCCTCTTCTTCCTGACWGAAGAGTATCTATCTTACTCAAGATAAAGGGAGGTTTGCTATTACATCTAATCAACAATGCCATCTATCCCATTCTGTAAGGTTTCAGCAGCCTAGTGTGTCACCACCATTAGATATTTTCATCTCATTAAGAAACAATATCAGTTCCAAGCAAATTTACAATAAGGGAGATAAAGCACACCGATCCAAAGTGTAAAAATGTTTCTTTATTTTTGTATTTATATACCGCTGTTCTCACCCTTGGGGGGGGACTCAGAGCGGTTCACAACAGAATCCTTGGCAATATTCAATGCCTTACATAAATAAAACATCACATATCAAATTAACCATATATAGCAATAGATTAAAACCATTAAAATTATACCCAACAAACACAACAGAAAATATTAGGTCTTACATCAGTCCCACGGTTATCTTTAGCTACTTCGTATTTCCATGCTCCGGTCATTCATCAAATGCCTTCTTGAACAACCAGTTCTTAAGTTGTTTCCTAAATGCTAAGAGGGAGGGGGCCGATCTTAGCTCAGTGGGGAGGGAGTTCCATGACTGAGGGTCCACCACCGAGAAGGCCCTGCCTCTCGTCCCCACCAATTGCACCTGCAATGGCGGCAGGACCAAAACAGGACCTCCCCAGCAGATCTTAGTGTTCTAGCTGGCTCATAAAGGGAGATGTGTTCGGACAGGTAAGCTGGACCAGAATCATTTAGGGCAGTGGTTCTCAACCTGGGGTCCCCAGATGTTTTTGGCCTTCAACTCCCAGAAATCCTAACAGCTGGTAAACTGGCTGGGATTTCTGGGAGTTGTAGGCCAAAAACATCTGGGGACCCCAGGTTGAGAACCACTGATTCAGGGATTTATAGGCTAAAGCCAGCACTTTGAATTCTGCTCGGTAGTAAACTGGCAGCCAGTGGAGCCACATAAAGGGGAGTTGTATGCTCATTACTTTAAATAGATGTGTTAAATCAACCTCTTTTTAAACCAATAGGATGAACACTACATTTTCTATTCATTGAACTGCATGGCAGAACAGGCAAGACATGTTTCTCACCTGAATTTTCTCCTCTAGAAACATAAAGATAATCTCAAATGGTTTTCCTTTTTCAAAAGGCATTTCATACATGATCTCTTCAGAGCCCCACTTTTCATTCTGCAGAGTGTTGCACACAATGCAACCCGATTTTTTGAACCGGGGGTTGAAATGAAAGGCAACATCAGCCCGAGGTTTTGTGGTACTTCCACACTGGAAGTCTATTTGGAACCTAGAAATAAACAATATACAGAAGAAGAAGAAAGGGAAATAAAGACAAGAGAAAAGAAGGAACTAATTTAAAACCTTGAGCCAGCTCAACAGAAGCTCCAAAACTCTTGCCTGATTTAGACTCTGAATAACAACCACATTGGTGAAAACCTCATTACAGTATTTCTGTTCTTTCTTTGCAAGCATGTTGATAATACAGTCTCAACTCTTACCTCTCTGAATCTTTTGGAACTAACCCACGTACTACAACACGTTCTCCAGGCGAAAGACCATCAATTATAGACTCGACATATGGAATAATCTGCAATACAGAGAAGAAATGGTACAATTACGTCTCTGGTTTGAAAGAGACATTAATTTAGTACGTCAGTCATGTATATTCATAGCCTTTCATTAGGTAACAGCAATGGGATTACATTCTAAGGGGAAGACAGGCTGGTGTCTTTCACCATGATCTACAAATTTAATTAATTCAGAGAAAACTCTTCCAAGAAATACATCAGAAAGAGGAAGGATGTATGGTAGAGCTAAGGAACCAAACTGGTGGCGTGGGGAGCTGGATCCCCAAAGCACAGCTTCCTCTGCCACATACAGTGATCCTGCTGATGTCTTTCCACCCAGAAATTCAGCAAAAAACTTTGTGTGGGGATGGTATTAGCACATTGCTATTACATGTGCTTGCAGAGCTTTTTTCAAACTGTGTCGTTGAAGGATTTCATGGCCGAAATCACTGCGTTCCTGAGACTTTTCCAAGCTGTATGGCCATATTTCAGAAGCATTCTCTCCTGATGTTTCACCCAGAGGTTGTCAACTAGATGAGCCATAGCAGAGCACTTGATGAACCAACCTGGGCACAGCATATTATTTGAGAACACCAAAATGCTGGACCACTCTAGCAACTACCATTTCAGACTACACAGAGAAGCCATTGAAATCCACAAGCATGTGGACAATTTTAACAGAAAAGAGGAAACCATGAAAATGAACAAAACCTGGCTACTAGCATTTTTTAAAAAAAACTAAAATCAGGACAGTAAATAAAGAACACTCAGAAACGGGAATTCTAGACAGGAAACAATCAAGGCCAGCTCACACATCCCAACAAAGCAGTGGTTCTCAACCTGTGTGTCCCCAGGTGTTTTGGTCTACAACTCCCAGAAATCCCAGCCAGTTTACCAGCTGTTAGGATTTCTGGGAGTTGAAGGCCAAAACATCTGGTGACCCACAGGTTGAGAACCACTGAAACAGGCAGGAAGCAGCCAGGCTCTGAAGCTGCAAGGCTATTCAATGCTAATCAAGCTGGCCAATTGCAACATTCACATTTGCCTCAAACAGACATTCTATCCTGGAGAGACATATATTCCACAGATATATAAACTCACTTGCCTAGTTTCCAACAGACCTCACAACCTCTGAGGATGCCTCCATAGAGGCAGGAAAACTTCAGGAGAGAATGCTTCTGGAACATGGCCATACAGCCTGGAAAACTCACAGCAACTCAGTGATTCTGGCCATGAAAGCCATCGACAACACAGTTTGATTTGAGCTTGTAACCCAAAACCTAATTGTTGCTATTAGGATGGTAAATGAGTCAGGTCTAGGTGGAGGCAGAAACCAGATTTAAAGTGGATCCATGTTCTGGCGCAGTGGTTCCCCAGATGTTTTGGCCTTCAACTCCCAGAAATCCTAACAGCTGGTAAACTGGCTGGGATTTCTGGGAGTGGTAGATAAAACACCTGGGGACCCCCAAATTGAGAACCACTGCTCTAGTGTGATGAGGCTGAAAGTCTTAGGAAAGCCTGACATTGCAAGCAGCTGCAGTTCAGAGCATCAAGGATAGTTACCGGATTCTGGATTGTCCTCTGAAAGTTGTCCAAAGACATCATTTTTAATTCACCCTCTGCACAGTAAAAGTTGTGCTTGTGCAGCAAGGCTGCAAACAACCTGTGGTAGAAAATAACAACAAAAGTAAAAAAATATGTAAGTAAGTGGTAGAAAATAACAACAAAAATAAAAATTATGTTAATAAGTAAAAAATTTAAAACAACATAAATGTCAGATAACTATGCATGGGGACAGCACTCCATAACTAGGAAACTGTCAAAGAGAAGTTCCTGCTCCTCTCAATACTGGAGCCTCGTTTTCCTATCCCAGAACATAGACCTGCTTGTGGGAAAAGGCAGCCTTTCAGGTGGTCTGAATGCCTTGCAAGAGGTGCTTCTGGACTAAGTGTTACACACATCGAACTACAAACAAAGGCAAGTAAAATAACTATGGTTATTAAAAAATAACACATATTTGGACTTGATCTTGGATGCAGAACAA